ATCTTTTTTTTTACAAAAAAATCCATATGAAAGATTTGACACTATATTTTAAATTCTATTATAAAATTGATTAAGTAAGCACTATGGTAAATTTAAATGGGTAATTATGGTTGCAATTCCATTGGAAATTTGAATTGAGATTATGACCATATCTTGAGGGAAAGAATTTTTTGGGGGAAAAAAAGGGGGGGGGGGATAAAAAGAAATTGTGGGGGGTCAATTTTTTCTCATTTCAGATTTCAGAAATTAAAAAGAATTATTCTTCAAATATTATTTTTTTTTCAAATTTCAAATATTGAAAAATTTCAAGAAGTAATCTTTAATTGCACAGTATGGCGCATTAGATTTGTAAAATCTTTGACCACATTTATTTATTTGTTATGCTGAATCTAAACATGTATTTAGATTTTTGATTTTGGGCCCAGTTTTCAAGTTGGTCCAAATTGGGGTCCAAAATTTAACTATGTTTGATTTCAACAAAAATTGAATATATGGGGTTCTTTGATATGCTGAATCTAACCATGTATTTAGATTTTTTATTTGTGGACCCCGCTATCAAATTGGTTCATATTGAGGTCAAAAGGGTCCAAAATTAAACTTTGTTTGATTTCATCAAAAATTGAATTATTGGGGTTCTTTGATATGCCAAATCTAACCGTGTATTTAGATTTTTAATTTTGGGTCCTGTTTTTTAAATTGGTCTACATTAAGGTCCAAAGGGTCTAAAATTAAACTTAGTTTGATTTTAACAAAAATTGAATTCTTGGGGTACTTTGATATGCTGAATCTAAACATGTGTTTAGATTTTTGATTATGGGCCCAGTTTTCAAGTTGGTCCAAGTTGGGGTCCAAAATTAAACTTTGTTTGATTTCAACAAAAATTGAATATATATGGGGTTCTTTGATATGCTGAATCTAAACATGTATTTAGATTTTAGATTTCTGGTCCAGTTTTCAAGTTGGTCCAAATTGGGGTCCAAAATTAAACTTTGTTTGATTTCAACAAAAATTGAATATATGGGGTTCTTTGATATGCTGAATCTTACCATGTATTTAGATTTTTTATTTGTGGGCCCGCTATCAAATTGGTTCATATTGAGGTCAAAAGGGTCCAAAATTAAACTTTGTTTGATTTCATCAAAAATTGAATTATTGGGGTTCCTTGATATGCCAAATCTAACCGTGTTTTTAGATTTTTAATTTTGGGTCCCGTTTTTTAAATTGGTCTACATTAAGGTCCAAAGGGTCCAAAATTAAACTTAGTTTGATTTTAACAAAAATTGAATTCTTGGGGTACTTTGATATGCTGAATCTAAACATGTGTTTAGATTTTTGATTATGGGCCCAGTTTTCAAGTTGGTCCAAGTTGGGGTCCAAAATTAAAACTTTGTTTGATTTCAACAAAAATTGAATATATGGGGTTCTTTGATATGCTGAATCTAAACATGTATTTAGATTTTAGATTTTTGGTCCAGTTTTCAAGTTGGTCCAAATTGGGGTCCAAAATTAAACTTTGTTTGATTTCAACAAAAAATTGAATATATGGGGTTCTTTGATATGCTGAATCTTACCATGTATTTAGATTTTTTATTTGTGGGCCCGCTATCAAATTGGTTCATATTGAGGTCAAAAGGGTCCAAAATTAAACTTTGTTTGATTTCATCAAAAATTGAATTATTGGGGTTCTTTGATATGCCAAACCTAACCGTGTTTTTAGATTTTTAATTTTGGGTCCCGTTTTTTAAATTGGTCTACATTAAGGTCCAAAGGGTCCAAAATTAAACTTAGTTTGATTTTAACAAAAATTGAATTCTTGGGGTACCTTGATATGCTGAATCTAAACATGTGTTTAGATTTTTGATTATGGGACCAGTTTTCAAGTTGGTCCAAGTTAGGGTCCAAAATTAAACTTTTTTTTTTTGTTTGATTTCAACAAAAATTGAATATATGGGGTTCTTTGATATGCTGAATCTAACCATGTATTTTGATTTTGGACATTGGACCATGATAGGTAAATTAAAAAAATTAAAGTTCTTAGACCAGATTCTTTCTGTGTCAGAAACCTATGCTGTGTCAAATATTTAATCACAATCCAAATTCAGAGCTGTATCAAGCTTGAATGTTGTGCGGTCGTATCAAGCTGCGCCCAGCGAAGCATTTTATTAGTACCTTTTTTTTACGACCGCAAAAAATTTGCTTTCGTAAAATGCTATCACATCGTCGTCGTTGTCTGAAGACATTTGGTTTCCTGACAATAACTTTAGTTAAAGTGTATGGATCTCTATGAAATTTAATCAAAAGGTTCAATACCACAAAAGGAAGGTCGGGATTGTTTTTGGGGGGGTGATGGTCCCAACAGTTTTGGAATTAGGGGACAAAAAGAGATCCAAAACAAGCATTTTTCTAGTTTCAGGACAATAACTTGTGTATAAGTATTTTGATTGCTCTGAAATTGTACCACAAGGTTCAATACCACAAGTAGAAGGTTGGGATTCATTTTGGGGGTAATTGCCCAAACCGTTCAGGAATTAGGGGCCAAAAAGGGGCCAAATTTCTAGTTTTCAGACAATAACTTGTGTTTAAGTGTATGGATGTCTCTTAAATTGTACCATATTTTACAAAAAGGAAATTTTATTTTTTTTTTGGGGGGGGGGGGGGTCAATTTTTTTCCCCTCCAGATTTAAGAAATTATCAATTTTCCCAAAAAAAATTGGGGGTCACAATTTATTTTGCTAATTCTTTGTATATATAAAGGTATGAAAACAGATTTACAAAGTATTGTGCAACAGCACAGTGTATTGCACAACAGCAAGAAGTCTTCAATTGAATATAAATTCAAATCATATAACCAATTTCAAGTTCTTTAACTACATTTATTCTGTGTCAGAAACCTATAATGTGTCAAATTTTAATTACAATCCAAATTCAGACCTGTATCAAGCTTGAATACTGTGTCCATTTTTGCCCCAACTGTCAAGGGTTGGACCTCTGTGGTTGTATCCAGCTGTGTTCGGCGAAGCAGTTTATTTTTTTGTATTTTGTTTTTTTTTCTAATTTAAAAGAAAAGCTATTTTTCAAGGTAAGAAAATTACGTTTAGAAATATTCTATGAAAACTTTGATTCAAAGTTGAAATGTAAAAAACTTTAAAAAAAGCTTTAAAATCAATAAGTAAAAAAATAAAGGAATTGGCTTGATAAGGCCACTTTTTTGGCCCATAAATTATTCATGTTGTCACACATGTAGCAATATAAGTTTATCAAAACCGTCCCATACATGTAAAACAGAAAATACTATTGCAGACTTTTGAAGTTGAGATTCAGATTTTATTTTGACCATTAAAGTCAGGATGTCATGACCCTAAACAAACCCCCTCAGAGATATTGTTACCATGCATATGATGGGCATTTACACTCCTCTTTCTTGGAACCCTGGATCTACAGGGGAGGGGTATCCCTGGAAGGAGTGCACTGTTCATTGAATTTTCACACAAAATTCAAATCATATCTAAAATTCACAATTTTCACATTTTGAATAATTTATGACTTTGGTGTATAGAAGGAATTGTCTCCCGTATCTCAGATAGGATACATTTTATTTACACTGTTGATAAACATACATTTATACAGTTTTCTGCAGCATCCATGGTTCTGTAAGACTATGATACTTGATAAATATAAACAAATATGATGGACTGACTGTATGATTGATATAATTGCACCTCTTCTCCTTTATCTTGTATATGGGCCCATCTCATTGGTCTTATGATAGTTTGGTTGTCTCAAGTGTGGAGGTCTGGGGTTTTATCCCTCTCTTGTCCTTGACCTTTACATATCTTTAATATGACTGGGTCAAACTAGACTTTTGAATTGGTATTGTTGGTTCTCTACAAAGCAGGTCAGGAGTAAAATCAAAGATATGTTTTCTGGGCGTCTTGGTTGGATGACATGTCTTCCCGCAGGACTTTTACTTTTTGAGCATGTTAAAGATACAAATAGGCTCAATATGTTTAAAGCAGGGTATATGACTATGACACAGTATTGTCACTAACATTTTATCATCCCTATTTTCCCCTGAATGTTAAACAGACATTTATACAATGTAAATCATCATATATTGACCAAAAGATAATCTGTGAAAGAATATTAATTTTTTAGTCATAAAATTTTATTGTTAACTTGAAAACCACAACTGGCACAAGTTCAGAACACAGGGAAACAAATGTTTTGCATTGTGTTATAAAGTCTTATAACAGGAAGCAATACATTTTCCTCAAACTACAAAAGCTTCCAGCTATAGACATGATAGATAATTATAGAGCTCATACTTTTACATGATAGAAAATATTTTTTAATTTTAAAAAATGAATATGGCCTGGTAATTTTAAAAGAACTGAAATTATACAATTTTGCTCAAGACAGGATGATAATAATAATTTTGATAATTATTTAATTTGCTGTTCCATATATATAGTTATGGAACTTTATTTGTCAAAATATGCACACCTTGTATGAATTTTTTGTGTATTTATTTGGCAAGTCACTTCAATTTTTCTTTTATTTAATTATAATCTTTTGAAACTTTGCTACAATCTAAAAACCAGTAAAAGATACCCTTCTTTCAGTTTTACAAAAAAATGATTTGTTGTTTTTGAGTTATGTAATTTAATGATGATAATTTAGTGGATATATTTGTATTTTGGTCATGGCACAGCAGTTTGTTTAACATATTTAATATACGTTGTCTTATTCCTGCAGACAGGACTTTTCAATAGAAATTTATTCCATTGTAATTGTTACCCATTATCCAGATTAAAAAAAGTTACTGCTTTGGCCATGGGTCTTCATGCTTTCTTTTATAATTTCTTATTTCAAACTTTTCATCATTTGTGGTGTAGGTTAACATGGCCAGATTTTTACTATATACAATGTAATTAAATTAAAATGAAATGTACTTGAATCATGCATTGTTGTATTTAATAGATTTTTTTTGTGTTTTACAGATGTAGCTAATGTACTCTCATTGTGAAGGTCCTTAAACTTTGTAAGTATATTGAATTAGTATATATTTTTAAGTCAGACTGATATACTTTGTATCTTCCAAACAAGAAGTCTAAAATGTTAATGTTAAATAATAAACAGAGGTTATTAGAATCTGTTTATAGATTATTACAAAATATTGTAGTTCTAGATATAAACAGATAAAGGAGTGAGGTGAGACATGGTGATCAGCAAGCATCACTTATCCTCTGATTTCATATCATTGTTATAGAAACTAAAGGATGTATTAAATATATATATACTCCTTGCTATATACATTTATTATATCACAGGAAGAGAGTCTTCAGGAAATAGAACAGTTTCTTGTACTCTATCTATAGACCTTGTTCACTTTCTCCTTTAGTAACAGTACTGGTAGGTGTTGCAGGAAATTGAATAGACACGTCATGTACTGTTAAAGTACTAATTTTTAAGATATGCTTTTACATCTTTTGGTTATAGCTTATAAGAACGTGCATTTGTACATAACTTTATTTTTCCAAGTGGGATCTCTCTTTCCAGGGGAAAGATATATGGGTTCACATTATTTTTAGCCATATAAGCTGTTCAATTGTATAAGGAGGGTCTACAGGCTGAATGTTCTACAACTACTGTATGATACTAGCCTGTTAACACTGAAGTTGTGAGATGGAATCCCACACATGTTACTCATGTGTTCCAAGCTAATGTTAATTGACTAGGATTGTCAGTTTTTCTGTCGAAGGTTGTGGTTCTCACCGTGCATTCTGGTTTCCTCCACCAATAAAAGCTGAGCACCACGAAAAAAGCAAGTGTTGAAAGTGGGGTTAAACACCAATCAATCAATCAATCAATTAATCATTCAATCAGTTGTTTTCAAACAAATCTTACAATCATCATTCAAATGAACTGAAGCTAAAGAAAAGTCTTTAGAAGGAGACTTAAGACACCATCAGAGACCATCCCCCACCTCCTCACACTTTCACTTTTCCATGTTCAGTTAACCTTGAAATTAGGTATAAACCCTTCTACTGCATATCATAATGAACATGAGAACTAAATGTCAAGTTCATGTGACTGCAGCATAATTGTTAAGTACTATAATCCAAAATTAAATCTCATTAATGAACCAAGAAATCTAGGTCAAAAAGCTAATTTGTCATACATGTATATTGTAAAAAGTTCCCATCCTAATGAACACTTATACTAAGTTTCACAATGTGATGTGACCACAACTTCATGGGAAAGTACCTTAACCCAAAGCTTTAACCTGATCTGCATGATCTGTAAACCTCTGAATCTGAGTCAAAATCCTAATTTGGTAAAAAGTTGACATCAAAATGAACATAGTTGTCTGAATTGCTGTCATAACACATCTCCCGAGTTTTATAATGTGTACGAAGTATTAAATTGATATTACTTACTACAACTTCAGGATAAATTACCTTAAACCAAAACTTAAGATCTGAGGGTATTGTTGTGCAGAGATTTAAAAGCAGTCATCTATCTTTGTGCTGATATGTTGCATAACGCGTTGTGGGGGACATGGAAATACTGGCCGTTCGTCCGTCCGTCTGGTCTTGTTAGCACTCTCACAGGTACAATTCTTGCCAGATTTTTATAAAACTTATACTATAGGTTAATTTCAGCAATATCTCAAACAAGTTCTATTATGGTGGACAATCGACTTTTTAATGCCCCACCTAGGGGCATTATGTTTTTCGGTCAATGCATCCGTTCGTTATTCCGTTTGTCCGTCCGTCTGTCCCACTTCAGGTTAAAGTTTTGGTTAAAGTTTTTGGTCAAGGTAGTTTTTGATGAAGTTGAAGTCCAATCAACTTTGTATACATGTTCCAAATGATTGATTGATTGATTGATTGGTGTTTAACACCTCTATCAACACTATTGTGCTATTTCCTGGCGGTCAGTTTTTATTGGTGGAGGAAGCCGGAGAGAACTACTGACCTTCGGTAGGAAAACTGACAATCCTAGTCAATTAAGATTGGAGTCGAGTACACCTGCCCCGTGCGGGATTCGAACTCACAACCTCAGTGTTGACTGGCTAGTGATACAGTAGTTCGACTACTTTGACCACTGGGCCACTGAGGCCCCCTGTTCCCAATGATATGATCTTTTTAATTTTAATGCCAAATTAGAGTTTCAACCCCAATTTCACGGTCCACTGATCATAGAAACTGATAGTGCGAGTGGGCAGGTTAAATTTTTTGGTCAAGCTAGTTTTTTATGAAGTTGAAGTCCAATCAACTTGAAACTTAGTACATATGTTCCCTATGATATGATCTTTCTAATTTTAATGCCAAATTAGTGTTTTGACCCCAATTTCACTTTCCACTAAATATAGAAAATTATAGTGTGAGTGGGGCTTCTGTGTACTATGGACACATTCTTGTTTAAAAGAGTTATGCCCTTGGAAATATTAAATTTATGGAATATGGCTTTGTTAGCACTCTCAAGGGTACAATTCTTGCCAGATTTTTATACGACCGCAAAAAAAATGACGTTGGCGTCGTCGTCTGAAGACACATTGGTTTTCGCACTCTAACTTTAGTTTAAGTGAATGGACCTCTATGAAATTTTACCATAAGGTTCAATACCACAAAAAGAAGGTTGGGATTGATTTTGGGGGTTATGGTACCAACAGTTAAGGAATAAGGGGCCAAAAATAAGCATTTTTGTAACTTCCAGACATAACCTGTGTGTTAGTGTATGTATCTCTCTAAAATTGTACCTCAAGTTTCCATATCATAAAGGGAATGCTGGGATTGATTTTGGGGGTAATTGCCTCAAAATTTTAGGAATTAGGGGCCAAAAAAGGGGCAAAAAACAAGCATTTTTCTAGTTTCATGATAATAACTTGTGTGTAAGTGCATGGATCTTTCTGAAATTGTACTACAAGGTTCCATATCACAAAGGGAAAGCTGGAATTGAGTTTGGGGGTAATTGCCCAAAACGTTTAGGTATAAGGGGCCTAAAAGGGCCCAAAAAACGCATTTTCTAGTTTCCAGACAATAAATTGTGTTTAAGTGTATGGATATCTCTGAAATTGTACTGCAAGGTACCATACCACAAAGGGAAGGCTGGGATTGATTTTGGGGATAATTGCCTCAAAATTTTAGGAATTAGAGGCCAAAAAGGGGAAAAGAACAAACATTTTTCTAGTTTCAGGACAATAACTTGTGTGTAAGTGTATGGATCTTTATGAAATTGTACTACATGGTTCCATATCACAAAGGGAAAGCTGGGTTTGAGTTTGGGGGTAATTGCCCTAAACGTTTAGGAATTTGGGGCCAAAAAGGGGCCTTAAAACAAGCATTTTTCTAGAATCCAGACAATAACTTGTGTTCAAGGGTATGGATCTCTCTGAAATTGTCCTGCAAGGTACCATATCACAAAGGGAAAGCAGGAATTGAGTTTGGGGGTAATTGCCCAAAACGTTTAGGAATAAGGGGCCTAAAAGGGGCCAAAAAACAAGCATTTTTGTCGAGCCTTCGACTTTAATCGAAAAAGCGAGACATAGCGATCCTACATTCTGTCGGCGTCGGCGGCGGCGTCCACAAATATTCACTCTGTGGTTAAAGTTTTTGAAATTTTAATAACTTTCTTAAACTATCCTGGATTTCTACCAAACTTGGACAGAAGCTTGTTTATGATCATAAGATAGTATCCTGAAGTAAATTTTGTAAAAATAAAATTCCTGTTTTTCCGTATTTTACTTGTAAATAGACTTAGTTTTTCTGCCAGGAAATATTACATTCACTCCCTGGTTAAAGTTTTTAAAATTTTAATAACTTTCTTAAACTATCCTGGGTTTGTACCAAACTTTGACAGAAGCTGGTTTATGATCATAAGATAGTATCCAGAAGTAAATTTTGTAAAAATAAAATTCCATTTTTTCCGTATTTTACTTATAAATGGACTTAGTTTTTCTGCCAGGAAACAACACAATCACTCTGTGGTTAAAGTTTTTAAAATTTTAATAACTTTCTTATACTATTTTGGATTTGTACCAAACTTGGACAGAAGCTTGTTTATGATCAAAAGCTAGTATCTAGAAGGAAATTTTGTGAAAAAATAAATCCATTTTTTCCGTATTTTACTTTTAAATGGACTTAGATTTTCTGCCAAGAAACAACATATTCACTCTGTGGTTAAAGTTTTTAAAATTTTAATAACTTTCTTATACTATTTTGGATTTGTACCAAACTTGGACAGAAGCTTGTTTATGATCAAATGCTAGTATCTAGAAGGAAATTTTGTTTTCTTTCAGTTAACATTACATTCAGTCTGCAGTTAAAGTTTTTAAAAATTTATTAGATTCATAAACTATCCTGGATTTTTACCAAACTTGGACAGAAGCTTCTTACAATCAAAAGATAGTATCAAGAGGAATATTTTTATTGATTTACCTCCTCATTTTTGTTGAGCCTGCGATTAACAGGAAAAGTAGGCGAGATACTAGGTTCCGCGGAACCCTTACGAATTTTTGGACATTAACTCATGATTATTAGCCATGATTATGTATGTCATTTTCTATTTTAAGACTTTTATGATGTATTTAAATGGGTAATTATGGTTGCAAACTCCATTGGAAATTTGAATTGAGATTATGACCATATCTTGAGGGAAAGGATTTTTTTTGGGGGAAAAAGGGGGGGGGGGGGGGGGGGTTAAAAAGAAATTGTGGAGGGTCAATTTTTTCTCATTTCAGATTTCAAAAATTAAAAAGAAAAATTCTTCAAATATAATTTTTTGGCAAAAAAAGGTCGGGGGGGTCAATACCCAATAACATAGTGTATTGCACAAAAGCAAAAAAAAGAGGCGGTAAATTTTTTTTTTTTGTGGGGGAGGGGGGGTCAATTCGCAACAGCAAAGTGTATTGCACAAAAGCAAAAAATTGAATATAAATTCAAATCATATAACCAACTCTAAGTTCTTTGACTACAGTTATTCTGTGTCAGAAACCTATTATGTGTCATATATTTAATTACAATCCAAATTCAGACCTGTGTATCAAGTGCGAATATTGTGTCCATTTTTGCCCCAACTGCTCAGGGTTGGAGCTCTGTGGTCGTATCCAGCTCCGCTCGGCGAAGCAATTTATTTTTTTATAAATTTCTGATATGACATTGAGGAGTTATGGATCTTTATTCGTTGAAAAAGCGATTTTATCTGACATTAATTCATTTAACTGCAATACTCTCTTTACATGAAACACTCCAAACATCAAAATCTCAATATAACTCAAAAGAAGGCGATTCCAGTGGCAAGTTTGATATTGCTGAAATTCAATAAATTTTATTCCTTTAATCATGACAGATGCTCCTGAAGATCACTAATGTGTTTACATGGACCATGACATTAGTATGACTTCAAAATAATAAGTTGTCTGCACATTTGTTTTAATACTGCACTATAGATACATTGTAATGGACCTAATGGAAAAGCATTTTAGCCTCAAACATGGCTGATATCTTCCTTATATAGTATTTTACAGAAAATTTATGATTTATTTTAATTTAATTTATTTTATTCTAAAGATTTTTTCAACAGTTTTTTAGAGACAGTAGATCATGTGATAAAAGATTTGAAAGTCATTATAAAAGCAAAGTTCAAAAATGTATACATTTTATTAGTGAAAAGTTTCACATAAACCATTTGACTCCCACACATGCATGTAGATTGTTTAAACAAAGAGTCACTGTCTCACTCAAGAACTTTCACATGCACTCTTATGATCTGAATTTGATTCCTGGTGCATGTTCACCAAAGATAATTCAAGTATTGTTTATAAAGCTTTACTGTAAACAGTTTTATCTATGAAGTTTTAAATAACAGTAAGACCCAATCAAGTAACTTGAGGGCTGATTATGTTTTCATGCACTAAGATTTGCCTTCAGAACAATGAACTACTTATTTTGTTTTAAGCAAATTTTAAGTTACATTATTTGAACCTTAATTTTACTTTATGTTTATCATGAACATTTTTATGCCCCTGCCGTAGGGTGGGATGATATTCAGTATTAAAAAAAGTACAAGCATCAGGTTTTGATTGTTTGATTACCATGTAAACAAAATAAAAATAAAAAAAAGTCTTTCAGGATAAAATAATGTGAAATTATAAAGGTTAAACTTGTTGTCTAAAAAATTATCTTCCTTACCTCCCACTTAAATGAATACGAAATTTTTATACATTAAAATATTAAGAAGATGTGGTATGATTGACAATGAGACAACTGTCCACCAGTGTCTTAATATATTATTCTGTCGATCTAAACCAAAGGTTGAAATTAAATTCAGTTTTATACACATTTTAGTTCAACATATATTGTAAATTACACTATCAAATAATATGACAGACGGTCTTATTTACAATGAATCACTTTCTTTAAAGATAAAACAATAAAAGATTTCAAAGCTTAAGTTAATTTATTTTCGTCACTTTTTAACAAGAGTTAAGTTTGTAATGTACGGTAATCTGATGTCATACGGATATTGAATCTTAGGTTCTCATTATAGGAAGGATGTTAAGAGTTTCCTTTCCATAAAATGTTTATTTTGACTTGTAACAACTTTGTTTACTAAAAGGTAAGGACATTAAAATTTCAATATGATGGGTTGAAAAGGGGGCTATTATTTAAAAGTTAGAAAAAATCGAGACTGGATTCAAATACATTTGTATTGAGGCAGGATTAATTATTATGACATATACATCTGAAAATAACTATGATGGAAAATAGGTATCCTCTATTTAGTAGATTAATTGCTTTAAGCCAGAAAGAAAAGTGTTTATTAAATGAAAACTTTAACAAAGTTTTTTTTCTTCAAAATTTGTAAACTTATATAATATAAAAATAAGGGGATGTGGTATGATTGCAAATATGACAACTATCCACCAGAGACCTAAAGATGTAGATGTAATCAAACATCATACTGCCTTCAACATTGAGCAAGACACATACTGTATAGTAAGCTTTGAAATGCCTAACATTGGCATGACAAAATGTGAAACAATTTAAAAAAGAAAACCCAACAGCCTATATATATTCTATAACATCTTCTATGCTAAAACAAAATGGCAGACAGCAACAATTAAAGACCAAGGCTGAATTACAGGTTCTTGACTTCAAACAGGTATAGGTATATATGGCATGTGGCAGGGAAAAACATGCTTTTGAGTACTAAACCCCCTTCTTTTTTTGTCTCACCTGACCCTGACCTTTTCCAATCACTTAGCACAGTTGTCTGTTGTAGTCGTCATCCTTTAACATTTACAAAAATCTTCTGCTGTAAAATTACTGGTCCAAAGTCAAACTATATCAAACTTGGCCACAATCATCATTGGGGTATCTAGTTTTAAAAATGTACCATATGACTTGCCTGCCAAACAGCATGGCCCACATGGCTAAAAATAAAACATAGAAGAAAAAAAAGTTTTTTCTTTTATCTTGATAACCGCTATAGATGGAGAAAATCTGACAATGGCAACATATCCGGGGGATTTCCATTAGTTTTTCACACTTTTTTGCGTTTTGCCTTGTATTTTCAGAACTATAATAGATAGATTAAAGCGCAAAAATGATCAGTAAGACAAGATCTGCAGATAGGTCAACATAGACAAAATTTTCAGTAGTCTTCTTGTAGGAATTATTGCTCTTAAATGATGAATTTGTTTTACCCTTTCTTGTTTTTGGGCAAAACAAAAGAAGATGTAGAGAAACTATAACCAGAAAAAATGATCAGCGATACAAGATCAACAAAAAAGATTTTAGTCATGATTTATATTCTAGTCTACAATGTTAGAGAGTGTTCATTGTTGAAGATGCACTTAGACATAGGTGAGCAACACAGCCTCTTTAGAGTTTTTAGTTTTACACAATTCATCTTAATTCCATGCAGTCTACTTCTTGAAAAAACTAAAATTATGGACAGCAGAGTCATAAATGAACCAGATAAAGCTAGAGAAGAGATTGTAACCATGCTTACTAACAGGCATTTGTCCCTATCTAGATGAAAGCACAATTCCATTGAAATTTTGGTGTTTTTGTATTTTTTTGTACAAAGAAAGTGAGAAAAAAAATTTAACGACACATACCAAAGATGTTAATTTCAGAAATACAACTGATGGATAAGTATTTCAACTTCTGTAGATAAGAGACAAAACAAAAAGCAAGTGTCTGATCAGTTGAGCATGACATGACTATCATGGCAGGATTCAAGTTTTACTATCATTACTGATGTTTTTTTTTCTATGTTACAAATCTGTTCAGTTAACATCTGCATTAGATAGGTTCATTTTCTTGGTTAATTTAAAGAAATTATATACTTGTGATGTGTACTTTACATTATTAAATGTGATTACTCAACCTTATCTGTTTTAGTATCATTGTTTAAGTTAATTCAATTCCAATTACAAATTGTAGTCATCAAAATTATTTTACTTCACATATAAATTTTAATGATGGATTAATAAAACACAAAATAATATATAACCTTCATCTAGTTGAGCAGAATTTGTACCCAAAATTTTCTTAGAAGTTTATTCAAATATTAATTCATTTGGTGCTTACATGTTAACTTTCAGTTACTTTGTGCCCAGGTTTTAAAAAAATTTAAAATAGCAAAATCATTGTGTGTTAAAAATTCAGATATGGTGTTGCATATTTTTCAGAAATAACTATAAATAACATTTATACAATTTGTAACATTACACCTTTTTTTTCCAGATAAGAAAAATCTCAATATTTCCTGGTGTAACATAAGACATGCAGACAATGAATAAAGGAAAGATTTCAAGAGCTTTTGACCCCAGTAGTCATGTGACCTAGTAATACAGATGAGATACTCTAATTATGTGACGTTTAGTTATTATCAAAATTTCATTTAGATGATAGTGCAATAAATAGTTTAGAAAAACTACAATGGAAAATTTAGATTCAAAATCGACAAATACAGAAAGAAGAGAGGATGCTAAAACAGGAATTAGGTATAGAATGACCAAAACAAAACCAGCCAATTTTAGCGATCTGAAAGCTAAATTTGACTCTACGGGTGGTGTGAATGCCACAAATATAATGAACACAAAAATCTCGACCACCACTACAAGTAAACAAGAATTACAGACAACACAGCGTTTCCAAAGAAATTCAGCTTTAAGAGCATCTAAAGAAAAATCAGATGATGAATTGAAAGATTTGTTGTTACATACCAAATTTACAATAGGTGCTGAAGGTGAAACAGTTGAGCCAAAGATGGCAGTTTCCAAGGTTTTCCGTGGAAGTGGGAACAATGTTTGTCAGGCAACAGTCGAAAATAAACTTCAGAGGCATGATTCTGGTGAAATGTCTTTAGCACCATCAAATAAGAATGCTGCCATGTCAATACTAAGTACAAATTTAGCTTTAGCAAGAATTCGGCCAGGTTCTGGTGGTAAGAAAGATGACAATGTGCCTAGTAATATACAACAAAGTTTTAATGTTTTTTCCAAAAACTCTAAAAGCAGTGTCACTTCCACAAGTTCCCACCGGGAGACAAATATATCAGGAACAAAAACAGAGTCTCGGTCTTATACTAGCAAATATTCATCTACTTCCTCACAAAGTGTTGTTCCCAAGGAACCTGGATTAAGCTTTTCAAAAGATACATCAGAATCGGGTCATGATAAATTAAGTCGGAATAATTCCTCTGGTTCTGACTTGTCAGACACGAGGTCAAACATATCTAGGAATAATAGTTTTAACAAAATCAGTGCCAATTCTAAACCACGTCCTTTCAGTCCAAATACAAAAAAAAATTCAGAAACAAGTGTGACACAGATAGTTCAAAAACAAAGAAGTCTGACAAGGACTTCTTCCGCAGGTTCTGAAGATGCACGCCCTGAATGGCTCAAGAAAAGGGAGGTGTTGGTTTCTAATTTTCAAACTCGTTTAAAACACAAACCAGTAGAAACCAAAACGGAAACAAAGACATCATCTTCAGAACTTCATTCCAAAGTAAAGGAAATAAAATCTGAAGGAGACAAATTTCCTTCAAGTGGCATTTCCAAACAGAAAAAACTAACTAGAACACTTGATGTTGATGGATGTGTGAGAAAACATAAAGATTCTTCCTCTCCAGAGCCTCAGTCTCCAAGAGGCTATCAGTCACCAAGGGGAACTAACTCTCCAACAGGGAGCATGTCCCCAAAAGGTGTTCAATCACCAAGAGGAAGCTTGAGTCCAAGAGACAGTACAGCTTCAGAACTTGATGAATTCAATGAAATTCGTAAAAATATTTTCAAAAGGCGGGAGAGTAATAAGGATATGAACTTTGACCGAAGCCATTCTGTGGAGACAACAAAACATGTAGAATATCAATCTAAAAAAATGACAGCAGATTATTTCAAAAAATTAAAAAGTGACTTTGAACATATAGCTGCTGAGTCTGATGCAAAACAGGGCAGGAAACCAAAGCTTCAAAATGTGAAGACCAGTAGAACATTTGAAGAACAAAAACATTCATTTGAATCACAGATGTCACCTTCTTCACCAAAGTCTAAACTACAGACTTTGAAACGTTTACAGGAACAAGGTCAAATACCAAATGTCAGGGCTGTTTCTTCTGCTTTAAATTTAGACTTTGGAAGACCAAGAGCTGCTAGTACAGGTAGTATTACTGCTGATTTATATACTGATAATATTTATGAGGCCATGGGTGAAGAATATCATGACTTTGAAGGATTTGAGAAGTATGAACCAAAGGCTTGGCCAGACACAGATAGTACCAGCTCTGATAATGAAGGGATTTATGACTATATAAAAGATACAGGTATACACTTTAGATAATATCAGTAGTCATCCTATTATTCATTTTATAAGCTCTTCAGCAATAGAATGCAATTAATTTCATTTAATACTTTATTCATTAAAAGAGGATTGATGACAACCAGTGACTGTTTGTGGGTCTCCTCCCCAAATAATTAGGAATGGTAGTCTGAAAGAGTGTATACATGTTCTGAAGATGTCACTTTTGTTATTTCAGAGAAAAATTTTGAATGATAGGAAATGTTTATTTATTTGCATGTCAGAATCACATGGTAACAAGTGTTTGCATATTATCTGGTGTTTTCACTGTTCTTTGGTCTTGTAAATAGATATGGCCTTAAGCATGTTAAGATAACAATGCAGTAATTTCCTTTCTACGGTGTTCTAGATGACCACTGTTATGGATGGTCCCTTTTTTTGCCACAGAGAGTATAACTCTCCTGGCATAAAGATATCATTTATGTAGTGAATTGGTCAGATGAGGAAACTTTTTCTCAATTGTTATCTGCAATTTTGGTTTTATCAATGAAATTCATGTAAACATTACAAAATATTATGGAAATATGGCCTTTAGCATGACAATGTACATGTACATGTAAATAAAAACCAGATGTTTAGTTTTCACTTGGAATGATTTATGAAGGGATGTAAAGATATCATCGCGGTTGGAACTTATCTTCTTCAATTCCGACAGTTATTTGGAATGAGTGTAGGTGTTAGAGTACGGCCATAATAGTCTGAGGTTACATGTATGTGAAATTTGAAAATTTAAGTGCACTTTGTAAATTTGAAAATTGATGAAATGAATACATATATGTTATTATTATCAATTCAACCAATAACATGAGAAAGTGTATGTAAACTATATGGACCACCAGCTGCAGATCAATTTAGGACGAGTGGAATAATTTTTCTTAAAAATATAGCATATGTGTACAAATCAAGGAAAACTTGTGCTGTGGACAACTTACAAACTTGACTATATAGTGGATAATTTATATTTTCATATTTAAGTGGAAAGTTTCTATTCCATTTACAGATCCAAAAGGAAAAGTTGAGAAAAAAGTACAATCTAAAACACCAGCAAGAAGATATGGTCAGAAAAGGTTTGTATTTATTTACAATAAAAAATTGTTTGATCAAGTATGAACTAACAGTCAACTGATATCCTTGTCTGTTTGCACTTAATGAATTAAAGGTACAGTTAACATGGTATAAGAACAAACGAAGAAGCTTCTGAAGTACAAATAGACATGTATGCATTTTTAAATTGGATTTTTCTAATTCATGTGTTAGTAAAAACTCTATGCTGGGTAATTTTTCTCTTTAAGGGAGAAGGAACATATGGCATATCATGACATAAAATCCCTGCACACACTCAACAGAATCTGAACTAAGGAATTGTATTTTTATTGCTATTCTTCATCTCAAGGCTATGTCTCAGTGAGGCCTTTGACCTCACTGTAAGTTCAAGATGGCCCATACCACCAATATGATCTGAAATGTTTGCTAGATGTGGATAACACTACAACTTTACATTGACACATATACAGGGTAGTACTGGCATACTAGATCTAACTGTCATAATTCGGTTATGCCCTATAATGAGAATATGTAGCTCAGGGAACTACTAGACTGGTTAACCATAGTAGTTTGTTTACTACATAGTCTTGTAAAAACATTCCAAGTGTTGCCCAGAAGCATAACTGTCTTGACAAGAAAAAAATATGTGATCTGATTTGGTAAATTTCTTTCATTTGATTTAAAAGTTTAAAACCATATATATATATATATATATATATATATATAAGTGCCTATAAAAAGCAGCACATGACATACAAATCTATGGGAGTGTGGATTAATCAGTACAGAGATTAATTCAATTACACAAATAAAATTATAGATTGCCTAACAATGTAATTTTAACACACTATTTAGTATGTAAATATAAGAATGTTTAAAATATTTACAAAATGATGAAAATAAACGCCATCCAAATTATGTATTATTTTCAAGGCAGCTAAATTCAAGTGCAACATATACATTGAGCTGCAAAAGTTTCTTATCATCTACATCCGATTTCACCTGGATAGATGCACGCTTGATAAAGCTAGTTAGTCTAGCGAAATATTGCGTTTATTTTCATCATTTTGTAAATATTTTAAACATTCTTATATTTACATACTAAATAGTGTGTTAAAATTACATTGTTAGGCAATCTATATATATATATTACCCCTCTACCAAGAAATTTGTTTTGCATGCACACTTATAAAAATTGTGGTTTGTATCCAACGCAATCATAGGTTTGAACGTTGTTTTCAATTTAGACTTGCTTATATATATATATATATATATATATATATATATATATATATAATATAGTGAATGTTTAGATAGAATTTGAAGTTTGTGAAAGTAGAACATATTTTTAGAAAACTAATCATAACATGTAGGTGTGCTCTATTACCTCACTAACAACTCAATAAAATTGCCTGGCCTATGTACACAGTGAAACCATTACCTCTGATCTTTAAAAAGAAAATAAATACATAGGTTTACATTAATTAAACCAAAGAATTTTGTTATATTCTTCTTAAGACTTGCCTCATGGTTGTAGTGTAAAATAATGAATGCTTCCCTGTCTTATCCATACTTTTATATATTAGCCTAAGCAGGTCAAGATTTCCCTTGTTTTATATAATTCTCTTTATCATGTTTAGTTTTTAATTTTTTAAATTAAAAATTGTAATTTTTTTATGATTGCACCTTAGTTTGGGTTGCGCATATTGGTTTCAGTAGAATGATTTCACTGTTACACTTTTTGTCTGTAATATATATAATGCTATTTTGTATACATTTAATGAACATTACTTTTACAGTTGTTCAGTAGGGTAAGATTTCATTTAGACGCATGTTATGTTTTTTATATTGTTTCATATTATCTGTATAAAATGGAATGTAAAAACAAAACTGCAGTGTTTCCTTAGCTTATCATATCCCCAGTCTTGAAAACCAAAAAAGCACTTCCGATTTCTCACTGTCAGCAGGGCTCATATACCATGTATACTGTACATGTGGTGTGTTCATGATAAGATCATTCCAATTCAAGCAGTACTTAACTTTTTTTTATGATAATCATACTGAATAGTGCATCTAAATTCAATAACAGTTATGCTAATGAAGGAATTTTATTGCAATATATATGTCTAATTAGAATTAGGTGATTTTTATGCAAAGGCTATTTAAGGGTTGTGCTCCTCCACAATGTTACAGGGATCACCACAAGCTATTTAAGGGTTGACCTCCACAATGTTACAGGGATCAACACAGTCTTATTTAAGGGTTGTGCTCCTACACAATGTTACAGGGATCACCACAGGCTATTTCAATGTTACAGGGATCAACACAGTCTTATTTAAGGGTTGTGCTCCTACACAATGTTACAGGGATCACCACAGTCTATTTAAGGGTTGTGCTCCTTCACAATGTTACAGGGATCACCACAGTCTATTTAAGGGTTGTGCTCCTTCACAATGGTACAGGGATCACCACAGTCTATTTAAGGGTTGTGCTCCTTCACAATGTTACAGGGATCACCACAGTCTATTTAAGGGTTGTGCTCCTTCACAATGGTACAGGCCTAGGATCACCACAGTCTATTTAACGATTGTGCTCCTACACAATGTTACAGGGATCACCACAGTCTATTTAAGGATTGTTCTCCTCTACAATGTTACAGGGATCTCCACATTCTATTTAAGGTTTGTGCTTCTATACAATGTTACAATGATCACCACAGTCTATTTAATGGTTGTGCTCCTCCACAATGTTACTGGGATCACCACAGGCTATTAAAGGGTTGTACATGTGCTCCTATACAATGTTACAAGGATCACCACAGGCTATTAAAGGATTGATCTCCACAATGTTACAGGGATCACCACAGGCTATTTAAGGATTGTGCTCCTCCACAATGTTGCAGGGATCACCACAGTCTATTTAAGGATTGTGCTCCTCCACAATGTTACAGGGATCACCACAGGCTGTTTAAGGGTTAATCTCCTCCACAATGTTGCAGGGATCACCACAGGCTATTTAAGGATTGTGCTCCTACACAATGTTAAAGGGATCACCACAGCTATTTAAGGGTTGTGTTCCTCCACAATGTTACAGGGATCACTACAGTCTATTTAAGGATTGAGCTCCACCACAATGTTACAGGGATCACCACAGTCTATTTAAGGGTTGATCTCCTCCACAATGTTACAGGGACCACCACAGGCTATTTTTAAAGATTGTGCTCCTACACAATGTTACAGAGATCACCACAGACTATTTAAGGGTTGTGCTCCTTCACAATGTTACAGGGATCACCACAGGCTATTTAAGGGTTGTGCTCCTACACAATGTTACAGGGATCACCACAGACTATTTAAGGGTTGTGCTCCTTCACAATATTACAGGGATCACCACAGGCTATTTAAGGATTGTGCTCCTACACAATGTTACAGGGATCACCACAGGCTATTTAAGGGTTGTGCTCCTCCACAATGTTACAGGGAACACCACAGGCTATTTAAGGGTTGTGCTCCTACACAATGTTACAGGGATCACCACAGGCTATTTAAGGGTTGTGCTCCTACACAATATTACAGGGATCACAACAGGCTATTTAAGGGTTGTGCTCCTACACAATATTACAGGGATCACCACAGGCTATTTAAGGGTTGTGCTCCTCAACCTTTAAAGTTTTAGCATCACCCTTGGATTTAAAGCACCACTCTTGATTTTCTAAGTATAAACCTTAAGTTTTAAGATTTTATGAGATAAGTTTTGAAATCAATTATCAATATGTATTATTTTGAAAGATTTAAGTTAAGTTTGTTCTTCAGAACATTACAATACATGTACATACATAAAAATAGTTCAGGAGAATCTGTTTGCTTGATACATAGAAGAAACTAAATTTAAGATGATAACACTTTCGATTCATCACATTTACTAGCACTTTCGCTGTTTTCACAGTTCTTTACAGGTACAATGTGACTAAATTTGTATTGCAAAATGTATACAAATTAGAATATTTGTCAACAGTTATAATAATTGTTTTATAGGCTCCCCCCTTGAAAACTTTTTTTGTTCTGATCCCTGCTATTATAATACTGTAAATTCAGAAATTATTGCAGTTTTCAATAATATGAATAATATGACTCCTTGAGTACCTCAATATTAAGAACTCACATTCTGATATCTGATACATATATCTGTATGTAGCATTTCCTTAAAATCACAAGAAATTAACTAACATTTTTGTTCATTCTTTAAAAATCGCAATACGAAAATGCACACAGTAATTTGTGAATTTATAGTATATATATGATATAAGCTCGTAACTGGTCAGGATTAAAAATGGCTTTATCTGCATTAATCTACTTAATCATGTGTTCATGCTGTAAACTCAGAAATTATTGCGAGGTTATTATTAATGAGAATAATGCGTCTTGGAGTCAGAGAATCGCAATAAAAAGAACTCACATCCTGAATTTGTAACGTTACATATATATATCTGTATGCAGATTTGCCTGAAATCACAATGATTAATCTTGCATTTTTGCCTATTGTTCAAAAATAGCAATAATAATTGCACACAATAATTTCTGAATTTACAGTATTCATAAACTACAGGCTTTGATTCCTAACAACAGACCCTGTTTCAGTTTAGAAGGTTTGTTTATGCCCCCACCGTAGTGGAGGGGGCATTAAATTTTACCCTTGTCCGTCTGTACATCCCAAAATTGGTTTCCATTCTCTAACTTTAGTTTGCCTCAACCAAATGTTATGAAACTTATACACAATGCTTATTACCACAAAACACAGATCAATTATGAATTTGGGTGGCTTCATTTTTACCGTTCTAGAGTTAAACCCCTTTACAAATGGAAAAATTGCTGAATTTTTCATTTCCGTTCTCTAACTTAAGTTTGCCTCAACCAAATGTTTTGAAACTTATACACAATGCTTATTACCACAAAACTCAGATCATGTACGAAATTGGGTAGCGTCACTTTTACTGTTCTTGAGTTATGTCCCTTTCTAATGTTATATTCAAGCGGGGCATCATCTATGTCCCATGGACACATGCCCCACATTTATTTTTGAAAAGAAAATAACTGACCTGATTTTAGTTCACAGTGTATATGGATGAAATTATGGAAACATTGTAGTTTGTTTAATTGTTGGACTGAGGTTTTTATTTAGCATGTTCTGTTATAATAACCTGTGGCAATGCCAAAGTCTTTTGACCGGTGTAATCCACTTATATCATATTCCTTGATTTCCTTCAGGAAAAATTATCACAGTTTTTCACTTTCATTTTATAAAAATACAATTTAAATACATATGGTTAAATTGTATGGATGTGTGCCTTTAAATTGTAATTTTTTTTAATATACACCTTGCCATAAGCTTTATTATTTAATTTTCAACGTTTTCAATTTTTGTTAAATGTTTTAAATATATCAAACATGTATGACATGTATATGCAATTATCCTTTAAGATATTATATTGTATTGTATATCTATAACTTCAGGCTCTTTATATCTGGATTTCTGATCACCACATGTATTTACATAATCATGTGACAGTGTAACAGTTCACAAATATTAAATCAAGTTATCATACTTTATATCACGTGTATAATTGGTGTACATTTCTTAACTACAATGCTTTAACAATTTTTCATGCAATGGTCAATTTGTTTTCAGAAGCAAATTTATATACCAAAATTGCTCAGGTGTAACTTACTAACAGCAAGAACATTGGTTAACATGGCTAATGAATATTTTATTCCTTAATTCCGCCGATAGCTGTCAGAAATTAATGCTCTTTATGTGCATATACATTTTTTTTGTACTTGTATATACTATTAGATACTCACAGTATGTAGTAATCTTGCTGTTAGGTATATATCAATTATGATCTGTTGAATACATTCATTTGTACTTTTATTCAGAAGACTATCTTCTAAAACACTAAACACTAAGTCTGCTAGAGTTTTAACAAAACTTTAGAAATATTTTTGGTATATATATATATATATATTGCATTATTACAGAAAAGATGTGATACATAAAGTGGTATACTATTTTCTGTCATGTTGATTTTTAACAAGGTTTTCCAAAGGAAAAAACAGTTTTAAAATGGTGAAGTATTGAAGGCAGCTGCCAACAATTTCTGTGCAAAAACTTATGAACCATTCAACCAATGTTTCTCAAATTTTGATGTTTGAGTTGAAGTTAGATATTGAGAATTTTCACTTTTACTGTACAGGAGTTATGTCCTTGATAAATTGGAAAATGGCCTTTTCTGTTGTTTCTGTGAACTATTCAACCAGTGCTATTCAAATTTTAATACGTATGAATGCACAACTGGCTTATGGTAGGTAAGTTGGTAATTTGAGATTGGGCAGGCAGGCCAGTGGAGATAAACCTATTTCGTGTAATCTTAGCTCATTCTACTGTATTTTTTAACCAAAGTCACTGAAACTTCTAAGAAAGATTGCACACATTAAATTTGTGCTCCTGCTCTAAGGAAATTGTGATACGATTTTTTTCCAATTTTTTTCAGACTAGAAAACATCTTTTTTTCAGCCAAATTAACAAAAGCGGGAACCGATCTAATGAATTCAACTCCATCAACAGTTTTCTACCCAAACCCTGGCAAATTAATAGAAATTTTGCACACTATTGAAGTTGTGGGAATGCTATTAAGGAATTGTTTTAGGAGTTTTTCACATTTTTCAAAGTTTGGAACTTGGTAATTTCCAGCAAAATTTTCAAAAGTTAATTTATCGTAAGTGACAGATATTGACTCTTTTTCAATTTAATAGATATGAAAATATTATTTAAGTAAACTTATGTTGCAGGAAGGGAACAAGTAGACCAAGTTTTGATAAAGACGAAGATGTCAACCATCATGATCCAAGTTCATCAGAAATCACTGAGGGTAGTAGTAAGGAGGGCACTATGGAGAGTACTGATGAGGTATGTTAAGGGAGAAATTAAGGTTTAACAATGTCATCAAAATTGTAGATCTTCAAAGTTGCACTAAATATTCCCAGTTTACAGAATCCTTTAGGTGACTAACAGGTAAACATTCAGAAAGGACTAAGTTTAGAAGTAAGAAAGACATAAGGGAAAGTACAGGTATCATGAGAGAATATTTAAATTCGAGAAAGTTCAGTGGATTTATAGTCACTGAAGTAGAAGGAAAGAGAGATTAGTGGCCAGAACAGAGGTGTTATATGAAGGGAATATAAGTTGGATCTCTAAAAATGGTGATTAAACAAAACTTCTGCAAATATTTCATTTGTTGAAGGTCATATGGTGACATGTAATTACTTAAATCCATTTTATTTGGATTTGGTTGGATAATGGTCTCATGGGCAATCATACAACATCTCATTAATTTATAGTTTCAAAATTATTAATGAGAATTATACAGAAATTGCGAAATCAAAATGTCAAAAAAAATCAAAATTCTGTAAGAAAATTGTGAAAAAATCAGCCAAAAAAAAATCACATTTACTGTACATATATCAGTAAGGTGACTAGCAGGGAAAGGCAGTATTCATTCTTATCTTTTACATTTTGGGTAATTTGATATACATTTCAGTTATGACTATAGAATTTAGAAAAAGGTGGAATTTCAAGCAAAAATCAGAATATCCTCATGATATTTGTAAGTTTTCTATAATTTATTTTTATATCATATTTATATGGATGTACTCAATATAATCATTATATTTTTCAGAGGTGTGGTGTAGATGGTGATATAGAATACGATTCAGATAGCAGTGGAAATTCTGGAATTTACGAACCTATAAATCCTGATCAGAAAAGACGCCAGGAAGAGAAATCATCAAATTTACCCCCAGAATTACCGGCAGATAGAAAGAAGAAAAAGAAAGAGAAAGAGAAACAAGGCAAAACATTTGGTTCTAAACTTAAACAGATGTATAAGTCAAAACCAAAGGATGGGGTGAAGGCCGGTAAAAAGACCAAAATGAAACATGTGACATCAGACTCTGCTATTCCTAGTCAAGGGTCATCGGGCATGCTAAATAAACTGGGTAAATTTTACAAGCGTGTGAAATCCGACACTAAGATGATCAATGAGCAGAACGAACAAGAAGAAGTGGTTATTTCCAGTAGTGATTATGATGGTAGTGATACTAATCCAATTGAGGAAAACATAGAAATTTTGGAAGAGGACAGTGATGGAATAACTATGCATGACATTGACTATATTGATGCTTCATCTACATTAGACAATCTACCACAACCACCAGTGGTACCCAAAGTGGAAGTGGAGCCCCCATTACCACCGAAACCACAAAAAGATGAGCCACCTATCCCCCCTCCACCAAGAACAGGTAATACAAATTGTATGTGTTGCTTCATATCCTTTTTTTTTGGGATGATTCTTTTCATTGATTTCATGGATAGAGTCAAAAATTAAATTATGAGTGCAGAGTTCTATGAGAAATTTCAATGTTCGTGAGTTTAAGAAAAATTCTTTTCTTTTGGTAAATTAAAAACAAATACATGAAATAGGTAATCAGTTTTGATACCAATGTTTTACCAGTGTTGTAAGCTTCATACAAGTACAGTTTTTATACGACCGCAAAATTTTTTTTTGCGGTCGTATATTGGTATGACGTTGGCGTCGTCGTCGTCGTCCGAAGACACATTGGTTTTCGCACTCTAACTTTAGTTTACGTGAATGGATCTCTATGAAATTTTACCATAAGGTTCAATACCACAAAAGGAAGGTTGGGATTGATTTACCAGGGTTATGGTACCAACAGTAAAGGAATAAGGGGCCAAAAATAAGCATTTTTGTAACTTCCAGACATAACTTGTGTGTTAGCGTCGTCGTCGTCGTCCGAAGACACATTGGTTTTCGCACTCTAACTTTAGTTTACGTGAATGGATCTCTCTGACATTGTACTGTACCACAAGGTTCCATATCACAAAGGGAATGCTGGGATTGATTTTGGGGGTAATTGCCTCAAAATTTTAGGAATTAGGGGCCAAAAAAAGGGCAAAAAACAAGCATTTTTCTAGTTTCATGACAATAACTTGTGTGTAAGTGTATGGATCTTTCTGAAATTGTACTACAAGGTTCCATATCACAAAGGGAAAGCTGGAATTAGGGTTGGGGGTAATTGCCCAAAACGTTTAGGAATAAGGGGCCAAAAATAAGCATTTTTGTCGAGCCTTCGACTTTAGTCGAAAAAGCGAGACATAGCGATCCTACATTCCGTCGGCGTCGGCGGCGGTGTCCACAAATATTCACTCTGTGGTTAAAGTTTTAAAAATTTTAATAACTTTCTTAAACTATTCTGGATTTCTACCAAACTTGGACAGAAGCTTGTTTATGATCATAAGATAGTATCCAGAAGTAAATTTTGTAAAAATAAAATTCCATTTTTTCCGTATTTTACTTATAAATGGACTTAGTTTTTCTGCCGGGAAATATAACATTCACTCTGTGGTTAAAGTTTTTAAAATTTTATTAACTTTCTTAAACTATCCTGGGTTTCTACCAAACTTGGACAAAAGCTTGTTTATGATCATAAAATAGTACCCAGAAGTAAATTTTGTAAAAAAAAAAAATCCATTTTTTTCTATTTTACTTTTAAATGGACTTAGATTTTCTGCCAGGAAACAACACATTCACTCTGTGGTTAAAGTTTTTAAAATTTTAATAACTTTCTTATACTATTTTGGATTTGTACCAAACTTGGACAGAAGCTTGTTTATGATCATATTAAAGATAGTACCCAGAAGTAAATTTTGTAAAAAAAAAAAATCCATTTTTTCCTTATTTTACTTTTAAATGGAATAAGATTTTCTGCCAGGAAACAACACATTCACTCTGTGGTTAAAGTTTTTAAAAATTTAATAACTTTCTTATACTATTTTGGATTTGTACCAAACTTGGACAGAAGCTTGTTTATGATCAAATGCTAGTATCTAGAAGGAAATTTTGTTTTCTTCCAGTTAACATTACATTCAGTCTGCAGTTAAAGTTTTTAAACATTTATTAGATTCATAAACTATCCTGGATTTTTACCAAACTTGGACAGAAGCTTCTTACAATCAAAAGATAGTATCAAGAGGAATATTTTTATTGATTTACTTCCTCATTTTTGTTGAGCCTGCGATTAACAGAAAAAGTAGGCGAGACACTGGGTTCCGCGGAACCCTTACGAATTTTTCTAGTATCCAGACAATAACTTGTGTTCAAGTGTATGGATCTCTCTGAAATTGTACTGCAAGGTACCATACCACAAAGGGAAGGCTGGGATTGATTTTGGGGTAATTGCCTCAAAATTTTAGGAATTAGGAGCCAAAAAGGGGTAAAAAAACAAGCATTTTTCTAGTTTCATGACATTAACTTGTGTGTAAGTGTATGATCTTTATGAAATTGTACTACAAGGTTCCATATCACAAAGGGAAAGCTGGGTTTGAGTTTGGGGGTAATTGCCCCAAACGTTTAGGAATTTGGGGCCAAAAAGGGACCAAAAAAACAAGCATTTTTCTAGTTTCCAGACAATAACTTGTGTTCAAGTGTACAGCCTCTCTGAAATTGTACTGCAAGGTACCATATACCACAAAGGGAAGGCTGGGATTGAGTTTGGGGGTGATGAATCATAAGGGGGTTCAAAAAATTTGAGGGGGGGATTTTTTTTCCTTTTTTTTTCTTTAAAATTTTCCATTTTCAATTGGTTATTTCTGATTTATATATAAAAGCAAATAATAATGATATGGTTTGAATAGGTAAATTAAATTTTTTTAAGTTCTTAGACCACATTCATTCTGTGTCAGAAACCTATGCTGTGTCAAATATTTAATCACAATCCAAATTCAGTGCTGTATCAAGCTTGAATGTTTTGTCCATACTTGCCCCAACTGTTCAGGGTTCGACCTCTGCAGTCGTATCAAGCTGCGCCCAGCGGAGCATTTTATTTATTATTAACCTGGTTTTTGGAAGGAAAATTCTTCTAGATCAAGTATTTGAGTTGCAAAATTATCACACAGAAATATCAAATGCAAATTTTGCAATAATACTCATTTTTATATGCCTGTTTACAGGACGTATTATGGTATAAAGTTGACCGTCCGTCCGTCCGTCCGTCTGTCCGTCGTCAACATGTCGGTCATTAACTCAAAAAAGCTTTAACCAATATGCATGATTTTACGTTTCTGAGTTACAGGGTTTTATTCATAAAAAAGGGGATTTTCCAGTTTTCAGACAATAACTAAAAAAATGCTTTCAGCAGTACTCATGAAACTTTGGTGAATTGTTTATATCTGTTGATTTAAGCTCCCTTTAGAATTTTATAAATTTTAGATTTTACATTTCTGAGTTATGGGGTTTTATTCATTAAAAAAGGGGTGATTTTCCAGTTTTTGGACAATAATTCAAAAATGCTTTCAGCAGTTCTCATGAAACTTTGGTGAATTATTTATAGCTATTGATGTAATCTCCCTATTGATTTTCATAAAATTGAGAAGAAATTGAACTTTATTTGTTTATAGTCTGACAACAGATTTACTAAGTATTGCACAACAGCAAGAAATCTTTAATTGAATATAAATTCTATTCATATAACCAATTTCAAGTTCTTCGACTACATTTATTCAGAAACCTATAATATGTCAAATATTTAATTACAATCTAAATTCAGACCTGAATATTGTGTCCATTTTTGCCCCAACTGTTCAGGGTTGGACCTCTGTGGGCCTATCTAGCTGTGCTCAGCGAAGCAGTTTATTTTATTCAGATGTTGTTTTTGTACTATAGGTGAGGCTGCTGTTCCCCCACCTCCTCTACCACCACGACTTAGTGTAGGTCCCAGTTCAATACCAGAAGATGATCTCCTGAGCTCACCACCACTGCCACCAAGGGAAAGATTATCCATGACCTTTGACCTAGATACAATTGTACCAATTTCGCTAGGAAAGAAATCTGAAGATGGGTATGTATCAGCATTGCATCCCTCCTATGTCTAATGTATTTCACATCATTATTTCTGGGAGTAAGTTACTGATGTGAGACTTTTTGTGGAATTTTATTGTTTGTTTTATAAACGAATCTAAATTTAATTTTGAGTGCCATTGTTAAAAAATAGAAAATCCTAACTTACCCTATTGAAGAATAATGTTTTTCTCTTTAAAGAATATATAATGATATATAATCTTTTTAGTATCTTTTGTTAGATAACCATATAATCCTAGTACTAATTTTTGCTGCCTAATGAATATAATATTTTGTTCTAATGCAATCAGGGACAACTTCAGCAAAGACTTGCTGGAATTTTGGGCCAGTCATTTTCAAGATGATTTGGTCAAAGCATCAAGGTAATTTTGTGAAGTCATTGCCTGGTAACGGAGAAAAGTATTTTCAATTCTAACATCAATTCACTTAAGTTCTTATAAAGGATAGATGCTTCAACCCTGCATTTTTCTTTAAATTTTCTTTTCAACCTTATTGTTTGAATCAAAAGATATGTCACTCAATTATTTATGCCAATAAGACAACAACCCAACAACTCAATAAACTAAACACTACTAGAGGTCAACACAGCTGTCAACAATAGACAAGTGTCTATACAAAAGGTCAAGGGTTAAATCATCTAAAGTCTACAAAAGTTGTGACTATATCAAAAAGTCTGAGATAGTATCAAAGATCTGTAATCAATACAGAATTAGTTAAAGGACAAATAACACGAACCTGAAATATAAAGCACTAAGAAGGACTTGAGACATAATGTGGCTTATTTAAGATTTCATCTCTCTCTCTTCCTTTTAAAGTTGATCCAAGGAATAACTAAAGAATCTGTGTTACAATGAAACAGTATTGCAACAAGAACACTCCACAAAAATTGAATGTTAAAACTGTTTAGCTATATTGTAAAAGAGCATTAAAACAATTAACTTGAATGAGCATCTGATAGTGGGATGCTGGAATAAGTATGCTTAGAAACAGACACCATTTTTTCTGATTTAGCTTCATTATTGCCAAAGCTTATGACTTTTATCTTTTTTTATTATTTGCTCTATTTTTGTCTCGCCTTGACGGAGTCAAAAAGCGAGACATAGGTATGCTGTTTCCGGCGGCATCAACAATGTATTAGTTTGTGATTAGGTCTAGTTCATGGTGAACCACTAGTGGTAGGTCAATGATATTTGGTATGCAGTTGTATTAGCATTGGCACATCTCATTACCATGGAGATTATTTGGCCCCACCCCCTCAGTCAAGGTCTATTGACTTTGAAACTTTTCATAGTTTACATGTATTAGTTTGTGATAAGGTCAATTTATGGGGAACCACTAGTGGTAGGTCAATGATATTTGATATGCAGTTGTTAAAGCATTGGCATATCTCATTTCCATGGATATTATTTGGCTCCGCCCCCTTAGTCATGGTCTATAGACTTTGAAAATTTTGCTAAGTTAACATGTATTAGTTTGTGATTAGGTCAGTTTAAGGGGAACCATTAGTGGTAGGCCAATGTAAATTGGTGTTCAGTTGTATAAGCATTAGCACATCTCATTTCCATGGAGAATATTTGGCCTCGCCCCCTCAGTCATGGTCTATTTACTTTGAAACTTTTGCTTAGTTTACATGTATTAGTTTGTGATTAGATCAGTTTAAGATGAACTGCTAATGTTAAGTCAATGATATTTGGTATGCAAATTTATTGGCATTTGCAAGTATCGCTTCCATGGAGATTATATAGCCCCACCCCTGATCATGGTTCATTGACTTTGAAACTTTTACATAGTTTACAAGTTAATGTTTGTGTTTAGGTTTGTTTAAAGGGAACGACTTATAATAAGTCAATGGTATTTGGTATGGAGTTGTATTAGCATTGGCACATCTCATTCCATGGAGAATATTTAGCCATGTACCTTCAGTCATGGTTCTTCGACTTTGAATATTTGCATAACTTACATGTTGAAGTATTGCTATTTTAATTTCAACCTTTGCATTATCAAAATTACAAAAAGGCGTGACATATCTCTGTGATAACAGTTTATTCGTTTTTCTTGTAGAGAGATTTGTATGTGTATTTGATAGTGTTCCCATTCTAAATATCTTACCAATATCTTACCAATTTCATGTCAGCTCAGAGTAGAATACAACTTTTCCATAGTTCTTTGAATGCACTTTCCAGAGGCTGGCACCACCAACATATTCAATTCAAAATTTTTAAAAAAGAGCCCCAAATTCCTTCTGCTTTAAATGGATTGTAAACTAACAAGTTTCCTGATACAACAAAAGAAGTAGAAGAAGCTAAAATAAACACACAGAAAGATGTGACCACACACAAAATTATTTAGATGGTTAAATTGTTTTATGTCAATTGCTTTGAATAGGATTTCTCAATTTGTCCATTGGTAGTCTAAATCTTGTGTAATTTTTAAAGCTTTTTCTTAACAATTTTCATGACATTCAAAATTGGAAAAAACCAAGTGTTCTATCGTGGTAGTCAATGAGATTTCCTGATTCTGAAGACAAAACAGATGAAAAAATATTACTTCTAGTGTAATTTACATGAACATTTATAATAATATAGAAATAAAGTAATGCGGTATTATTTTCAAAGAAACAACTATCTACCGAGTTCAAATGACCTATAATATTAGCAGTTATAGGTCACTGTACTGCCTTCAACAATGAAGCTTCTCATTCTGAAATGGTAAACATGTTAAAAAGATTCATTTCTGTATGTTTTGTGAGAAGCTTTATTGATTAAATCAATTGAAAAAATTCAGATGCAAAAAAAAGAATGTTTGTTTTTGATTTTTGCAGGAAGACTTGGCCCGGTGTAAGAGACAGCTACCTGCATGGTCACCATGTTAAAAGTGCATCTGACCTACAGATTGGTGATGAACCCGGGAAAAGTAACACAGATGACACACCCCCTCCTCGACCAAGCCCTCCTATAAACAGGAGGAAAAAAGGTACCGTAAGCCAATGCATTTTTGAAATTTTCAACACTTTCCAAAATCCTGTTTCAGTTTTGACCAAAGAAACTTGACATTTTTAGGTAAAATTTTCCAATCTATAAGAAATTGTTGTACAAGATTGAAATCATAAAAAATACATCACAATTGTTTAGTTTGTTTTTGCATAGATGAATTTCACAGTGTTCTCGGTATGCTCAGGCCTGGTAAACCATCAAATCTCAACAAAATGGTGAAGTAAGAAAAAGGTTTACTGGCACTTCCTGTAAAGCTTTTCCGGTACAAAATATAAAAAATATAGATAGGGTAGGTCGACGTGAAGAGTAGTGGTTTTTAAAGCCTAGAAATCGAGATGTAAAGTCTAGCGCTGAAGAGCTGAAGATGTTAAGCGCTGGAGAAATAAAGTCTAGCGCTTAAGATGTAAGGTCGAGCAATGTAGATGTAAAATTGATACAAGGACTGTCAAACAGAAAATTCACTATAAAACATGCAAAAAACAGTCTTGATGTTCATATAAAGCCCTTTTGAAAGTTATATTATTCTTCAGCTATCTAACAATAAATTTTATTGCACACCAACTTTCTTATTGGAAAAATTCACCAGGGCCAAATTGCAAAACCAAACTAACTGTGTATTGCTACCTAATACCTACAGTGCTAGACCTAAAGTTGACCTACCCTATCTATATTTTTATACGACCGCAAAAAAATTTTGCGATCGTATATTGGTATAACATTGGCGTTGTCGCCATCGTCGTCTGCCGAAGACACATTGGTTTTCGCACTCTAACTTTAGTTTAAGTGAATGGATCTCTATTAAATTTTACTTTAAGCTTCAATACCACAAAAGGAAGGTTGGGATTGATTTTGGGGGTTATGGTACCAACAGTTAAGGAAAAAGGGGCCAAAAATAAGCATTTTTGTAACTTTCAGACATAACTTGTGTGTTAGTGTATGGATCTCTCTGACATTGTACCACAAGGTTCCTTATAACAAAGGGAATGCTGGGAATGATTTTGGGGGTAATTGCCTCAAAATTTTAGGAATTAGGGGCCAAAAAAAGGGGCAAAAATCTAGCATTTTTCTAGTTTCATGACAATAACTTGTGTGTAAGTGTATGGATCTTTCTGAAATTGTACTACAAGGTTCCATATCACAAAGGAAAAGCTGGAATTGAGTTTGGGGGTAATTGCCCAAAACATTTAGGAATAAGGGGCCAAAAATAAGCATTTTTATACGCCCGTTTACGGGACGTATTATGGTATACCGTTGTCCGTCCGTCTGTCGTCAACATTCGGACATAAACTCGAAAATGCTTTAACCAATTTGCATAAAACTTTGGTGAATTGTTTATATCTATTGACGTGAGCTCCCTTTCGTTTTTTATAAATTTTAGATTTTACGTTTCCGAGTTATGGGGTTTTATTCATTTAAAAAAAGGGGGGTTTTCCAGTTTTCGGACAATAACTCGAGAACGCTTTCACCAACTTGCAAGAAATTGTGGTGAATTGTTTATATCTATTGACATGAGCTCCCTTTTGATTTTTATATATTTTAGATTTAGGGGTTTTATTCATTAAAAAAAAGGGGGATTTTCCAGTTTTCAGACAAAAAATTCAAAAATGCTTTCAGCAGTTCTTATGAAACTTTGGTGAATTCAGTGTTCTCCCCAGATATTTTGGATAGCATCACATTTGGCGTAAAAAAAATAAACTGTATTTTTTTCAATGTCATTTGTCGCGTCACGGTGATGCTCTATTTCCTTTATGGTATATATGTTTATATTGTTCAATTCATAACTGAGAATACAATTAAAATATAACCATGATAACAGTTGTTTCAGTTTATGTTTTCTATATTCATTTATAGTTACTGTACAGAATTATTATTTTCCTCTTGGGTCATATAACAATATATGTGTGGTTCTAGCAGAGACATATAATACAATATATGTCTCTGGTTCTAGTTACCCTACCTACCCAAGTAAATGAATGAGTGAATGGTTTATTATAGTGCAACCTTTATATATATACAATACTAATTATCAAGTAAAAAAAGAGAAAGTATCATATAGCAATAAAATTTCAATTAAAAAAAAATTTTCATGTCTAAAAGTTCATTGTTTCATGGTACTCAATGAATTAGTCCCAGTTGTTTCTTTATATCAAGGTGATAGATATTTTTAACAAAGTTATCTAACAAATAGTCTGTTGATGCATAGTTTTCTCTTTTTGGTATATTTTTTTCTGTCTGCTGTGCCATTTGTGCATCTGTAGTTATTATCGTAAAAATGCGGATCATATCTGGTCCGGTTCCGATCGGTAGTTTACACAAAAGTAGTCAATGGCGGCCGAAGAAAAATTAACAAAAATAAACAATGTTTGACAAGAGATTGGGAACGAATGTGACGCTTTTGATGTATTAAATGGATGAAACATAAACTTAAGCCAACTTATTTAGCCCAAAACCGATATGTTCGCTCCCAATTAACAAGTAGTACCGGCGGAAGAGAAAGAAAGTAATTTTATGAAAGTTGTAAAAATAAACGACCAAACCTCATTTTTAAAGAGAAAAATCGTTTGTATCTTTGAATTTCCGTAATGCAAAACGTAGATTTCGAATTGTTTTATGATTACATATTTTCCATGTCTTAATTTGCGATTGCAGACAGACCACGTGGTATTAATCATGTCACAAGTGTCAGCTTGGGGTATTCATATCCAAACAGTTATCACCCAAAGGGCAATTAACACCTATTTAATCACTCTTAAATGCCTCTATTGTCCGATTTGAAGGGATTACACTTAAAGGTGATATAATTTTTATGATCATATGCGGTAATTAGATGAAAGTTCAAAATTTAGGACATGGATTTACGATATAGAAACAAGAAAAATAGCATCCTCAAAATAATTATAGCGTCGCGGAAATTATTATAGCATCACTGGAAAAAATATAGCGTCGCGGCCTGGGGAGAACACTGGAATTGTTTATATCTATTGATGTAAGCTCCCTTTAGAATTTTATAAATTTTACATTTTACATTTCTGAGTTATGGGGTTTTATTCATTAAAAAAGGGGGGATTTTCCAGTTTTTGGACAATAAGTCAAAAATGCTGTCAGAAATTCTCATGAAACTTTGGAGAATTATTTATATCTATTTATGTAAGCTCCCTTTACATTTTCATAAATTTTTAATATGACATTGAGAATTAATTGAACTTTAATTGTATATAGTCTGACAACAGATTTACTAAGTATTGCGCAACAGCACAGTGTAATGCACAACAGCAAGAAATCTTTAATTGAATATAAATTCAATTCATATAACCAATTTCAAGTTCTTTGATTACATTTATTCAGAAACCTATAATATGTTAAATATTTAATACAATCCAAATTCAGACCTGTATCAAGCTTGAATATTGTGTCCATTTTTGTCCTAACTGTTCAGGGTTGGACCTTTGCGGGTGTATCCAGCTGCGCTCAGCGAAGCAGTTTATTCTAGTTTCCAGACAATAACTTGTGTTCAAGTGTATGGATCTCTCTGAAATTGTACTGCAAGGTACCATACCACAAAGGGAAGGCTGGGGTTGATTTTGGGGGTAATTGCCTCAAAATTTTAGGAATTAGGGGCCAAAAAGAGGCAAAAAACAAGCATTTTTCTACTTTCAGGACAATAACTTGTGTGTAAGTGTATGGATCTTTATGCAATTGTACTTCAAGGTTCCATGTCACAAATGGAAAGCTGGGTTTGAGTTTGGGGGTAATTGCCCTAAACGTTTAGGAATTTGGGGCCAAAAAGGGGAAAAAAAAAAGCAATTTCTAGTTTCCAGACAATAACTTGTTTTCAAGTGTATGGATCTCTCTGAAATTGTACTGCAAGGTACCATACCACAAAGGGAAGGCTGGGATTGAGTTTGGGAGTAATGATTCATAAGGGGGTTCAAAAAATTGGGGGGATTTTTTTTCCCTTTTTTTCCTTTTTTTTTTTTTTAAATTTTCCATTTTAAATTGGTTATTTCTGATTTATTATATAAAAGCAAATAATAATGATATGGTTTGAATAGGTAAATTAAAATTTTTTAAGTTTTTAGACCACATTCATTCTGTGTCAGAAACCTATGCTGTGTCAAATATTTTATCACAATCCAAATTCAGTGCTGTATCAAGCTTGAATGTTGTGTCCATACTTGCCCCAACTGTTCAGGGTTCGACCTCTGCGGTCGTATCAAGCTGCGCCCAGCAGAGCATTTTATTGATATTTTGTACCAGAAAAGCTCGACAGGAAGTGCCAGTAAACTTTTTTCTCGCTAAACTATTTGGTTAAGATTTGATTGTTTACCAGGCGTGATGCTTATCCAGCGATTATATTTGCATTTTTGTTGAAAGGTTCATATTTCAGATGGTTGAAGAGCTGCATAATCTATACCTAGGATACAAATACCTATACCCAGAGTGTCTGTCTGGCATATGAGTATTATCTTCAAATTTATTTTCATGGTTTAGTGAGCGCTTAAGGTAGATGGGGTCTGACTAAAAGCAATAGATTTTTTTAATACTTTGCCAAAATGTAGTTTATATCATGCTATTGTCAAAATTATGATGATCAGTACAGATCCCTGAGAACAAATTTAAAATTTTTTTTTTAATTATGTGAAAGGTTTTCTTGTGTTCCCGGGGTTGCAACACTCCCTAATTCAAAATAGCTTGATCTGCGCTTGAATTTTATTGACATTTCTATTGCTATTTGTTTAATTAACAGATGAGAATTCCCCATGAAAATAGAAAACAAGGGGAAATTATTGATTGACCACTGTAATATGTTTGTTTTGTACTTTCAACAGGTAAAGAGGACTACATCCTGCCTGACCCAGGAGTTGAAGAGAAAAAATCAGATTTTGTTAATGGGTGAGTTCTGTTTTATTTCAACTATTAAAAAAGGCCAGAATGGTGCATAGAAGAGTTCAATAAAGTTTGTTGATAGGTATGAATTGAGCTTTTCTGTATACATGTATTTAAATATAACACATCTAGTAGTAGTTACCCGACATCCCAAGACATTTTATATGAAATTTGTTATAGATGCTACTTGGTTAGTGATTCAGGCTCCTAGAAGGCTACTATTTTTATACGACCGCAAAAAATTTTTGTGGTCGTATATTGGTATGACGTTGGCGTCGTCGTCGTCGTCGACTGGCGTCGTCGTCGTCCGAAGACACATTGGTTTTCACACTCTAACTTTAGTTTAAGTGAATGGATCTTTATGAAATTTTACCACAAGGTTCAATACCACAAAAGGAAGGTTGGGATTGATTTTGGGGGTTATGGTAATAACAGTAAAGGAATTAGGGGCCAAAAAGGGGCCAAAAATAAGCATTTTTGTAACTTCCAGACATAACTTGTGTGTTAGTGTATGGATCTCTCTGACATTGTACCACAAGGTTCCATATCACTAAACGAATGCTGGGATTGATTTTGGGGGTAATTGCCTCCAAATTTTAGGAATTAGGGGCCAAAAAAGGGGCAAAAAACAAGCATTTTTCTAGTTTCATGACAATAACTTGTGTGTAAGTGTATGGATCTTTCTGAAATTGTACTACAAGGTTCCATATCACAAAGGGAAAGCTGGGTTTGAGTTTGGGGGTAATTGCCCTAAACGTTTAGGAATTTGGGGCCAAAAAGGGGCCAAAAAACACATTTTTTTATAGTTTCCAGACAATAACTTGTGTTCAAGTGTATGGATCTCTCTGAAATTGTACTGCAAGGTACCATACCACAAAGGGAAGGCTTGGATTGAGTTTGGGGGTGATGAATCATAATGGGGGTTCAAAAAATTTTGGGGGGGGATTTATTTTTTTTTCCTTTTTTTTCTTTTTTTCCTTTTTTGTTTCTTTTAAAATTTTCCATTTTAAGTTGGTTATTTCTGATTTATATTTAAAATCAAATAATAATGATATGGTAGGAGATACACACCAAACAGGATGTGTAAATTATTATATAATAAGTATTGTGCAATAGCAAGAAATTTTCAATTGCACAGTATTGCACAATAGCAAGAAATCTTCAATTGCACAGTATTGCGCAATAGCAAGAAATCTTCAATTGCACAGTATTGCGCAATAGCAAGAAATATCCAATAGCACAATATTGCGCAATAGCAAGAAATTGTCAATTGTACAGTATTGCGCAATAGCAAGAAATATTTAATAGCACAGGATTGTGCAAAAGAAGATACTTCCTATAAATTGCTTATTTCTTGACCAATTTCAATGGGGTTTTATTCTTGATTTCATGGGGTTCTTTAATATGCTGAATCTAACCGTGTATTTAGTTTTTGGATTTTGGGCCCCGTTTTTAAATTGGTCCACATTGAGGTCCAAAGGGTCCAAAATTAAACTTTGTTTGATTTCATCAAAAATTGAATTATTGGGGTTCTTTGAAATGCCGAATCTAACTGTGTATTTAGATTCTTAAATTTTGGTTCCGTTTTCAAATTGGTCTACATTAAGGTCCAAAGGGTCCAAAATTAAACTTAGTTTGATTTTAACAAAAATTGAATTCTTAGGGTTCTTTGATATGCTGAATCTAAACATGTATTTAGATTTTTGATTATGGGCCCAGTTTTCAAGTTGGTCCAAATCGGGGTCCAAAATTAAACTTTGTTTGATTTCAACAAAAATTGAATATATGGGGTTCTTTGATATGCTGAATCTAACCGTGTATTTAGATTTTTGATTTTTGGGCCCCGTTATCAACTTTGTCCACATTGAGGTCAAAAGGGTCCAAAATTAAACTTTGTTTGATTTCATCAAAAATTGAATTATTGGGGTTCTTTGATATGCCGAATCTAACCGTGTATTTAGATTCTTAATTTTTGGTTCCGTTTTCAAATTGGTCTACATTAAGGTCCAAAGGGTCCAAAATTAAACTTAGTTTGATTTTAACAAAAATTGAATTCTTAGGGTTCTTTGATATGCTGAATCTAAACATGTATTTAGATTTTTGATTATGGGCCCAGTTTTCAAGTTGGTCCAAATCGGGGTCCAAAATTAAACTTTGTTTGATTTCAACAAAAATTGAATATATGGGGTTCTTTGATATGCTGAATCTAACCATGTATTTAGATTTTTGATTTTTGGGCCCCGTTATCAACTTTGTCCACATTGAGGTCAAAAGGGTCCAAAATTAAACTTTGTTTGATTTCATCAAAAATTGAATTCTTGGGGTTCTTTGATATGCTGAATCTAACCATGTATTTAGATTTTGGATATTGGACCATAATAGGTGAATGTCCAATTTAAAATTTTTAAGTTCTTAGACCACATTCAATCTGTGTTAGAAACCTATGCTGTGTCAAATATTTAATCACAATCCAAATCCAAAGCTGTATCAAGCTTGAATGTTGTGTCCATACTTCCCCCAACTGTTCAGGGTTCGACCTCTGCGGTCGTATCAAGCTGCGCCCTGCGGAGCATTTTATTTATAGAACTTTGGACATACATTATCCATCTATCAATTCAATATAAAGTGCAAATCAAATAACAGATATGAATTAAGATACCATTTTTTGTTACAGAAAACAGCCATTGGACAAGAGGCCATCATCAGGGTACTTAAGATTTGGTGATATATCAGGAGAATCCAGCAGTGATATTCAAGCTCCATTCAGTCATCTGTATAAGTTCAAAAATCAGTTAAAAGATGACAATGAAGGCAATCAACTGTATATTGAACTGGTTTGTGCTGTTTTGTTTTTAAGTTTTTGTACACTTTATATTAATGGATGGAAAGATCATGATATTGTTTGACTTAAACATAATTTGATATGGTCTTACCATAGTTTGTATAAGAAATTGGAAATTAGCCAAACTTGTGAAATAAATTTCTCACTAACATCTATGGTTTTTCGTGTGATCAATTGTGATATAGATTTCAGTGTGAAACTCAAATATTCCTCCATTTCTTTAAAACTTCTAAATTTCTAATTTAAAAGGTTTGATTTTTCAAAATCTTTAAATGTGTTATAGGAAATATTTTCATCAAATTTTCAAGTGTACATTTTTGAGCAAGTGAATAATTCCTTTATACAAAGTCAGCTATTGGTTAATTTATTTCTCATACTAAATGTTTATTGACGATTTCCTTCTGTGCAAAAATATTGGAAGCATTGATAAAGACTTTAACTGTATATTATATTCTTGAACAATGACAAAAGCAAATAAAAATGTACCATGTGTATTTACAAAACTTTACATAACTCTGTACTTTAACAGAATGACGACATGTTGTACGGTACAATGGACAGAAGATATACAACCAAGTTTGAGTCAGAGCCTCTCTATCAAGTGTATAACAAGGACAAAGTAACAAGAGCCAGTAGAAAGTTCACCCCTGCTATCTCCAGTGACAGTGAGGTAGAATCTGGTAGGTATCATTCTCATCAGAGCCTCTCTATCAAGTGTTTAACAAGGACAAAGTAACAAGAGCCAGTAGAAAGTTCACCCCTGCTATCTCCAGTGACAGTGAGGTAGAATCTGGTAGGTATCATTCTCATCAGAGCCTCTCTATCAGGTGTTTTACAAGGACAAAGTAACAAGAGCCAGTAGAAAGTTCACCCCTGCTATCTCCAGTGACAGTGAGGTAGAATCTGGTAGGTATCATTCTCATCAGAGCCTCTCTATCAAGTGTATAACAAGGACAAAGTAACAAGAGCCAATAGAAAGTTCACCCCTGCTATCTCCTGTGACAGTGAGGTAGAGTCTGGTAGGTATCATTCTCATCAGAGCCTCTCTATCAAGTGTTTAACAAGGACAAAAACATCATGAGCCAATTTAAAGTATATATAGGTACAATGTATATGAATGCATTACAATGTTCACCTGACCTTAACCTTATTTCATACTTCCATGATTAATGTTAAGTTTTGTGATTAGTCAAATACTATAAAATGAGAGATCAGCTATATTTGATGAATTGAAAGATTTTAAAGTGTACATAAAGATCTGAGTTCATCTGACCTTGAATCCATTTTCATTGTTCAAAGTTCAGTTTTCATGAAAATTTCCATTTCTAAAAAAACCTCTTATAAATAGGTCAACTATATTGAGTGTATAAAATAGTTGTCAGGCCAACATCTCCCTATGACAGCATTCATCTGGCCTTGACCTAATTTTCATTGTACATTGGTCAATGCTAAGTTTTTGTGGAACAGGTTTGTTTCTCAGATACTACAATGTATATGTAAAAAGTTAAATATATTGGGTGTATAAAATGATTTTAAAGTGTACATGCCAATCAGACACAGCGTTTTCAAACGAATTTGCCCCAGTCTGACATTTTTTTTAAATCCTGCTTTTTTTTAAATTGTATAATACTGCCACTTTAGATGGTTTATTTTGCATTCACTTTGAATCTCCTAACCTATGCAAGATATTTATATATATAAAAAATGTTTATACTATTTTTACTTTACTTTTACAACTTTTGATTGTACTTAACACACATTTCTTTTTGGTTTCTTTCTCCTTTTAATACAAATAATATAATAGTGTTATCTAAAAAAAAGCATTCATGTATATGTCTTATTACTATCCTGTATGTTGTTCAGAGAAGCAAGTTTGTATAGTAGAATATTTTTGTGTTTTAGGAGATGAAGGAATTTATGAAGCAGTAGATGAGATTCTAGAGAAAGCTAAAGGTGACATATCAGTTCCAGATAAACCTAAAATGTCCACATTGGAGATGTTTGGTAAAACTGGGTCGGTGCTCAGAGCCCTGTGGAGTGAAATGCCAGAGGTAGGTAAAATATCCACATTGGAGATGTTTGGTAAAGCTTTGTCTGTATTCTGTAAAATTTTCCACTTAGGGACATTTGGTCTAACAGGATCTTTATGTAGTGCTTATTAGAATGACAGGGAGATAGATCATAGAATAATAGTACTGTACACAAAGGCTTTCATCAGTTTGGGACTTGACAATGGCAAAGCTAGTTTTACTGTCAATGCAAAACAGAGCAAGTGAATTAAATGTGATCATAAAATCACCAGTTAATCTTCAACTACAATAAAGTCAGTACAGTACAACTTGAATTTAATGGTAAAAGAAATAATTCCTTTGAACTTTTAAAAAAGACATTAGATGTAAAGAAAATGAAACCCTGCACAATTATTTTTTTTTATTGGTGTCTAAGCAAAAATTAAGTTCATATATCTATATATATATATGAATAACTAGGTGTACTTACAAGTAGCATATATATAAAGAAATAATATATATGGCAATTGTAAGTACAAAAAATGTACACCAAGTCCAGTGGCTCTATAAGTCACCTTAAATGAGATGAAAACATTTTGAATATCACCTTATACAATGAACAAACTGTTCATGAATTAATCTTACTGTTAATTTTAAAAACTTCGTTATTTTAGAATTCAATTATGTCAAGCTCTAGATAGCTTCGAGTCTAAAAAATCTCTTTATGAATTCAACAGAATGGAAAAGAGAGCATATGGTGCTGACCAGTGTTTATCTCCCTTGTTTTGTGCGAGGTTGTATTGTGCAGTGCTCTTTGTAGAAATGTACCACCTTAGACTTTGGTTCTAGTTCATTTTAACTTTTTCATTTTAGGTAAAAGAAAGTGGATTTTTGAATTCAATATCAGGTCAAGAAAGGAAGATACAGGAGGTAAAATGCTGTTAATTATGTAAATAAGAAATACATCAAAAGCTTTTCTTTTAATATAAGAGATATTTGAAGGTCTATTGCTATGGAAGATATACCTTATAGACAGGGGTCAAACAGATCCAAGACCTGGAAATTAGTTTAGCAAAATCTGGCCTTGAAAAATCTGAATTCTGAAATATACAAGAAAGTCTTGAAAGCTTACAAATGGAACAATGTGTTCCCAAGTTGAGATTATTGATAAATAGAGTTATACCTACCAGTGAGAACTGACATTTATTTAATTATAATATAATTCCAGTATACTAGATCTCTTCGCAAACATTTAGGTGATCTAGAATAAAAACCATCCCTAGGATGTTGATCACTTTACCTGTGTGACAAACCTGTGTACAGGTAAAAAGTTTTCAGAAAAATTTAAGTTTTTCTTTTGAAGATTTATTAGAAATAAGAGAATATAAAGTTTTGGTTTGACAATTAAATATAATCGACTTGCATGAGATTTTTTAGGTAAACAAAGATTCAACATCTTTACCAGTTATAAAGAAGGAAAAGAAAGACGGCTCAATATCTAGAACCAAAGATAAGAATACAAATTATGGCTTTTAAAAAATGATTCACCTGCAGTAATTGTTTTTCAAGATTTTTGTCTTGTCTTACTGTATTGTATGTAATCACCATAATTAAAGGGGAAAAGGTTTTACTGTAATCACCATACATATAGGGGAAAAGTTTAAATGTTTTGTATAAAAATATGTAACATTTTGTTTTTCTTTACATTTAGGCCATGTTTGAAATCATCACCTCTGAAGCCTCTTATCTTAAGAGTTTAAACATATTGATAGATACATTTCTGAGGTCACAGGAGTTCTCTGCTGAACTGTCTGATAAATGTGTCATAAATCGCCAAGAGAGACATGTGCTCTTTTCTAACATTGGTGCTGTTAGGGAAGCAAGTGAAAGGTAAGGATTACAAAGTTGAGAAAATCAGATTTTGAAATCCATTTAGTTCGTTAGTCCATCCTAAATAATTTTTCTGGTTCTCGGGTAATGACTTCTAAAAAATGGATGATGGAGGCAGGGTATTTAATTTTGCATTTATTATTTATTATATTGACCAGTATTTATTTTGTCACTATTCCTTCATGTTAAAGAATAAAATACAAATGGGTGGAAAACAAAATCACAAAATCAAATGAAATAAAACACAGTTGCAGTATGGAGAAGACAAATAACTAGTCTGCAAAACAACACAATTTCAGTGTATAACAGAGGATCTACATGTATGTGTTACCTTTCTTGAAATCAACAACAACTTATAAAATGTTTCAAACTTGACCAGATTTTCTGAAGCTAATGCAGTTGTGCAAATGCTATTTTCGTTTTTATGCCCCCGCCATAGCAGAGGGCGCATTAAGTTTTACCCTTGTCCGTCCGTCCGTCCAAAAGTTGGTTTTTCGTTCTCTAACTTTAGATTGCCTCAACCAAATGTTATGAAACTTATACACAATGCTTATTACCACAAAATACAGATCAAGTTTGAATTTTGGTAGTGTCACTTTAAGCGTTCTAGTGTTATGCCCCTTTACAAATGGAAAAATGCTGAATTTTTCGTTTCCGTTCTCTATCTTAAGTTTGCCTCTACCAAATACTATGAAACTTATACACAATGCTTATTACCACAAAATACAGATCAAGTTTGAATTTTGGGGGTGTCACTTTTATTGTTCTAGAGTTATGCCCCTCTATAAATGGAAAAATTGCTGAATTTTTATGCCCCCACCATAGCAGACGGGGCATTAAGTTTTACCCTTGTCTGTCTGTATGTCCCAAAATTGGTTTTCGTTCTCTAACTTGAGTTTGCCTCAACCAAATGTTATTATACTTATACACAATGCTAATTACCACAAAACACAGATCAAGTTTGAATATTGGTGGCGTCACTTTTACCGTTCTAGAGTTATGCCCCTTTATAAATGGAAAAATTGCAAAATTTTTAGTTTACGTTCTCTAACTTAAGTTTGCCTCAACCAAATGTTATGAAACTTATACACAATGCTTAATTCTACAAAATACAGATCAAGTTTGAATTTTGGTGGGGTCACTCTCACCGTTCTAGAGTTACGCCCCTTTATAAATGGAAAAATTGCTGAATTTTTATGCCCCCGCCATAGCGGAGGGGCATTATTTTTTACACTTGTCCGTCTGTACGTCCAAAAATTGGTTTCTGTCTCTAACTTGAGTTTGCCTCAATCAAATGGTATGAAACTTATACACAATGCTAATTACCACAAAACACAGATCAAGTTTGAATTTTGGTGGCGTCACTTTAACCGTTCTAGAGTTATGCCCCTTTATAAATGGAAAAATTGCTGAATTTTTCGTTTCTGTCATCTAAATTAAGTTTGCCTCTACCAAATGCTATGAAACTTATACACAATGCCTATTACCACAAAATACAGATCAAGTTTGAATCTTGGGGGTGTCACTTTTATTGTTATAGAGTTATGCCCCTTTACAAATGGAAAAATTGCTGAATTTTTATGCCCCCACCATAGCGGACGGGGGCATTAAGTTTTACCCTTGTCTGTCTGTACGTATGTACGTCTGTACGTCCCAAAATTGGTTTCCGTTCTCTAACTTGAGTTTGCCTCAACCAAATGTTATGAAACTTATACGCAATGCTAATTACCACAAAACACAGATAAAGTTTGAATTTTGGTGGCGTCACTTTAACCGTTCTAGAGTTATGCCCCTTTATAAATGGAAAAATTGCCAAATTTTTAGTTTCAGTTCTCTAACTTAAGTTTGCCTCAACCAAATGTTATGAAACTTATACACAATGCTTATTACCACAAAACACAGATCAAGTTTGAATTTTGGTAGCGTCACTCTTAACTGTTGTTATGCCCCTTTAAAAATGGAAAATTGCAAAATCTTTAGTTTCAGTTCTCTAACCTAAGTAAGCCTCAACCAAATGTTATGAAACTTATACACAATGCTTATTACCACCAAATACAGATCAAGTTTGAATTTTGGTAGCATCACTCTAACCGTTCTAGAGTTATGCCCCTTTATAAATGGAAAAATTACAAAATTTTTAGTTTCTGTTCTCTAACTTAAGTTTGCCTCAACCAAATGTTATGAAACTTATACACAATGCTTATTACCACATAACACAGATCAAGTTTGAATTTTGGTCTTGTCACTTTAACAGTTCTAGAGTAATGTCCCTTTTATAATTGGAAAAATTGCAAAATTTTAAGTTTCTGTTCTCTAACATTAGTTTGCCCCAACCATGGGGACACATTCTCCATTTATTTGTTTACTTTCTCTAACTTTAGTTTGCCTCAACCTAATGCTATGAAACTTATACACAATGCTTATTACCACAAAACACACATTAAGTTGAATTTTGGTAGTGTCACTTTAATCATTATCGAGTTATGCCCCTTTATAAGTCGAAAAATTGCAAAATGTTTAGTTTCCATTCTATAACTTAAGTTTGCCTCAACCAAACATTATGAAACCTATACTCAATACTTATTACCTTAAAACTCAGATCAAGTACAAATTTGGGTAGCGTCTCTTTTATCTTTCTTGAGTTATGTCCCTTTATAATGATTGTATAACCAAATGTTATGAAACTTATTCACACTTGTTATTACCACAAATCTCAGATCAAGTACAAATTTGGGTAGCGTCACTATTACTGTTTTTCAGTTATGTCCCTTTATAACTTTATATGATAGACAAACGGGGGCATCATCTGTGTCCCATGGACACATTCCACATTTTTATTGCGGTCGTATATTGGTATGACGTTGGCGTCGTCGTCGTCTGAAGACACATTGGTTTTCGCACTCTAACTTTAGTTTAAGTGAATGGATCTCTATGAAATTCTACCATCAGGTTCAATACCACAAAAGTAACGTTGGGATTGATTTTGGGGGTTATGGTACCAATAGTTAAGGAATTAGGGGCCAAAAAGGGGCCAAAAATAAGCATTTTTGTAACTTCCAGACATAACTTGTGTGTTAGTGTATGGATCTCTCTGACATTGTACCACAAGGTTCCATTCACAAAGGGAATGCTGGGATTGATTTTGGGGGTAATTGCCCAAAACATTTAGGAATTAAGGGGCCAAAAAAGGGGCCAAAAATAAGCATTTTTCTAGTTTCCAGACAATAACTTGTGTTCAAGTGTATGGATCTCTCTGAAATTGTACTGCAAGGTACCATACCACTAAGGGAAGGCTGGGATTGGTTTTGGGGGTAATTGCCTCAAAATTTTAGGAATTAGGGGCCAAAAAGGGGCAAAAAACAAGCATTTTTCTAGTTTCAGGACAATAACTTGTGTGTAAGTGTATGGATCTTTCTGAAATTGTAGTACAAGGTTCCATATCACAAAGGGAAAGCTGGGTTTTAGTTTGGGGGTAATTGCCCAAAACGTTTAGGAATTTGGGGCCAAAAAAACAAGCATTTTTCTAGTTTCCAGACATTAACTTGTTTTCAAGTGTATGGATCACTCAGAAATTGTACTGCAAGGTACCATACCACAAAGGGAAGGCTGGGATTGAGTTTGGGGGTGATGAACCTTTTAGGGGGGGGGGATTTTTTTTTTCTTTAAAATTTTCCATTTTAAATTGGTTATTTCTGATTTATATATATATAAAAGCAAATAATAATGATATGGTTTGAATAGGTAAATTAAATTTTTTTAAGTTCTTAGACCACATTCATTCTGTGTCAGAAACCTATGCTGTGTCAAATATTTAATCACAATCCAAATTCAGAGCTGTATCAAGCTTGAATGTTGTGTCCATACTTGCCCCAACTGTTCAGGGTTCGACCTCTGCGGTCGTATCAAGCTGCGCCCCAGCGGAGCATTTTATTTTTTCTGGAATGATTTTTGGAATTTCCGACACCAAGTAGAACTTATTTAGTCTGCTTACATTGATTAAATGATCACAACCAAAACACCTTGAAAATAACTGGACAGAAATCAACCGAACTTTGGTCTTTGATTGAAAGTTGTCTCATTGGCAATGATACCACATCTCCCTACTTTTATACTGATTATATTATATGCATATGGAAGGCCACAACATGTCTTCCATTGAGGGCTCACACTTTTCAAAACTACAATTCATATTTATTTGTTATTTTTGTTATTTTGTAGTTTTTTATCTGATTTAGAAGCCCGATGGCAGAAGTCTTGTTTATTGTCTGATGTCTGTGATATTATTTACCTACATGGTATTAATAAGTTTGAATGTTACGTCTGTTACTGTAGCAACCAAACATTCCAAGAACGAGCGATTCAGGAACTTGTGTAAGTATATGTATGCTACTATAGTAATATTTTCTCTTTGTAATGGTGGCAACTGATCATGCCATGGAAACGGCTAGACAAAATTTAAACAAACTTACACAGATTCTTTTAAATGAAGTTGTGCATCTGCTAATGAATTATTGATCTAATTGATGTTGGGGTTTTCAAATAGCTTGCAGGAAATAATCATTGTGGTATAAAAGTAATAATTTTTAGAAAGATCTTTTTGTGCTGTCTTATTCATATTCACCGATTTGACTCAATTGAACTGATTTGGATTCAAATGAGGTTGCAAGCCAATAATACATCAGGAATGCTTTTTAGCTTGTTTTGTCAAAATTGAACCAAACTGACTGCTAACTGCAAAATGTTATTATTTGAAAATTCAGCATTTATAAATGTTTGAAACAAAACCAAAAAAATCATATTTCACTTGTTTTTGTCTAAATCGTAGCTAATGTCCCTTTAACATGCACAATAGTTTAAAAGTTATGTCATATTTTCTTTATTACAGCAAAAGACCGGAGTTTATTGAGGCCTTAAGAAGAATAGAGAGAAGTCCTGAATGTCAGGGTTTACCTATGACTTCATTCCTGTTACTGCCGATGCAGAGGATAACACGATTACCACTTCTTGTGGACGCAATTTGTCATAGATTGTCTCCAGGGACAGAGAGACATAAATCTGCTTCCAGGGCATTAGATGCTCTCAACAGGGTGAGCAATTTAACAAACATATTTATAATAATATAGAGGAAACATATATTTGATATCCACATGAAAAACTTTATGTTATGATGATATATGATCATTTTTTTGGGGATAACTTTTCATAGCAAAATTTTTCAATTAGTTTCTAAGTATCAAATAGTCATCAGTATGATAACTATATTATAAACTGAGGAATACTGGGGAAAATATAGGAACTATTAAAAATGGCATATGAGTTAACTAATACCTTGCCCAAAATAGATTTATCACTATGATTCTGTTTTATTAACCCTCAACTTACTTTATTTTAGTTATGGCTCATCCTGATTAAATAAAAGTACTGTTCATTTGATATTATTGTTATTTCATAGTATATTATGACACTATTGTCTTAGGAAGGTCCAAAAGCAAGGCAAGGGCTTAGCAGTAAATTAGTTTTTGAGGTAATTTGGAACATTTATACAATGTTTTAGGTTGTGAAAAAATGTAATGAAGGAGCCAGAAGGATGCAGCAAACTGAACAAATGTGTCTAGTTGTACAGAACTTAGAATTCAAGGTCAAGGTAAGATCCAAAACATTACAACTGTGATAAGTCTTACGGAACTTAGATGTCAAGATCAAGGTAGGATACCAAACAGGTCAAATAGGAAACAGAAGGAATATTATTAGTTGTACAGAACTTGGATGTTAAGATCAGATAGGAAACAGAAGAAATATTATTAGTTGTACAGAACTTAGATGTTAAGATCAGATAGGAAACAGAAGGAATATTATTAGTTGTACAGAACTTGGATGTTAAGATCAGATAGGAAACAGAAGGAATATTATTAGTTGTACAGAACTTGGATGTTAAGATCAGATAGGAAACAGAAGGAATATTATTAGTTGTACAGAACTTAGATGTTAAGATCAGATAGGAAACAGAAGGAATATTATTAGTTGTACAGAACTTAGATGTTAAGATCAGATAGGAAACAGAAGGAATATTAATTATTATTAATTGTACAGAACTTGGATGTTAAGATCAGATAGGAAACAGAAGGAATATTATTAGTTGTACAGAACTTAGATGTTAAGATCAGATAGGAAACAGAAGGAATATTATTAATTGTACAGAACTTGGATGTTAAGATCAGATAGGAAACAGAAGGAATATTATTAATTGTACAGAACTTGGATGTTAAGATCAGATAGGAAACAGAAGGAATATTATTAATTGTACAGAACTTGGATGTTAAGATCAGATAGGAAACAGAAGGAATGTTATTAATTGTACAGAACTGGGATGTTAAGATCAGATAGGAAACAGAAGGAATATTATTAGTTGTACAGAACTTGGATGTTAAGATCAGTTGGAAACAGAAGGAATATTATTAGTTGTACAGAACTTGGATGTTAAGATCAGATAGGAAACAGAAGGAATATTATTAGTTGTACAGAACTTGGATGTTAAGATCAGATAGGAAACAGAAGGAATATTATTAGTTGTACAGAACTTAGATGTTAAGATCAGATAGGAAACAGAAGGAATATTATTAGTTGTACAGAACTTAGATGTTAAGATCAGATAGGAAACAGAAGGAATATTAATTATTATTAATTGTACAGAACTTGGATGTTAAGATCAGATAGGAAACAGAAGGAATATTATTAGTTGTACAGAATTTAGATGTTAAGATCAGATAGGGAAGAGAAGGAATATTATTAATTGTACAGAACTTGGATGTTAAGATCAGATAGGAAACAGAAGGAATATTATTAATTGTACAGAACTTGGATGTTAAGATCAGATAGGAAACAGAAGGAATGTTATTAGTTGTACAGAATTAGATATTAAGGTTAAGGTCAGTTAGGAAACAGAAGGAATGTATTACATTTTTCTGACCTCTTCCAAATAGTTGTAAAGTATATTCAAACATACATTTTTCCCAACAAGATACCTACCAGCGTTCATAATGTTTTAGGTATAAACCATATCTCCTTTGAATCTTATCGAATAAGATGCACCTCATTTTAGAAATTTCTTTTGTCATTTTATGATTATTATATCCCATAACAAAATGACAAGCAAGATGAAACAAAACAATGTATTATTTGTTTTATTTTAATTTTAGGAAATTCCTTTGATATCAGCATCAAGATATCTGGTCAAACAAGGGGAGCTAACCAGACTAGTTACAGAGACATCAAGTCGTCTCCCCTTTGGTAAAGGAAAACCTAGTAAACAATCCATTTACCTTTACTTATTTAGTGATTTATTATTAGTCAGCAAAAAGAAAGGGTAAGTTCATTTCTTGTTGTAATATCAATAAAAAGTTTAATATTGAAAGATGGGATATAAAGCTATCAAAATTATATGCAATTTAATTATATTTTTACACAAATTGGGGAAAAATAGAACAAAAGCGTCATTTTCTACCATATGTAGTTACAATTATGAAATAGTAACCCGGTCACATTTATGGAAAAAATGATTTCCTCTGGACTAGATAATTGTTAATGAGTGTCATCAGGTTAAGAGTAACCTAGGATTAATCTTAGTTGTAAGATGTTTTATAAGAGCCCATGACCTTGATGAAAATATTTTTCTTTCCCAGAATATAAATAAAGGAGATGTGTTGTATACACCCAAGAGATAGCATCAAAATACATCTCATATTTCAGTGATAAACAAAATACATCTCATATTTCAATGACAAAAAAAATACATCTCATATTTCAATGACAAAAAAAAACAGAAAAAGGTACATACACCTTTGGCAAAAACCAACTGTCCTATTGCTCTAAAGTTACAATGGGAAGGATAACACAACAAACAAGATGGATATTTCATTAGGGGTGATATTCATTGCACCATAAAAACACTTTTCTTTTAATAGGTACTTGTCCACTGGAATGTTCTAAACTTTTTTTCTGTCTTTGTCAATTTCCTTGAAAAAAAGTAACTTGTTTTTGGCCATGAGTAACATTTAAAGTTAATTGACTCTTCTTTTTTCCTGAAAACGTAAAAATATAGTGGCTTGATCAATGCAGTCTGGGCCTTTTAAAGCCGATGTTACGTATGGGTTTTTCTCATTTTTGAAGGCTGTATGGTTGCCTATAATTGCTTACATCCACTTTATTTGAACTTTGGTGGATAGTTGTCTCATTGGCAATCATACCTCATCTCCTTATTTTTTATAAGTAAATTTTATTTAAACACATTGTGGGAACTTTAGTCTGTAGGGACATAAACTTGTTGCTTATTGATGTCCTCAATTTCAGTGTTATGATTACCAATGAGACAACTCTCCACCTGAGACCAAATGACATAGAAATTGAAAACTTTAGGCCATCGATCAGCCTTCAACAGTGAGCCAAACCCTACCACATAGTCAGCTGTAAAAGCCCTGAAATGACAAATGTAAAACAATTCAATTCCGTTAGAAAACTAACAGCCGGATTTTTGTACAAAACAATGAATGAAAAACAAATATGATATAGAGCAACAAACAAGCACTGATTTACAGGCTGCTGACTTGGGACAGGCTCCTGACTTGGGACAGGCTCCTGACTTGGGACAGGCACATAAGACCTGACTTGGGACAGGCTCCTGACTTGGGACAGGCACATAAGACCTGACTTGGGACAGGCACATAAGACCTGACTTGGGACAGGCTCCTGACTTGGGACAGGCACATAAGACCTGACTTGGGACAGGCACATAAGACCTGACTTGGGACAGGCTCCTGACTTGGGACAGGCACATAAGAATGAAAGCAGGTATATAAACTGTCAAAACCACATGTGTCCGTTTCAATGAGAATATCAGGTAGACTTCTGTTGAAGAATATTTTTTTTTAAATGTTTTTTTTTTTACTGGCAGCAGCATCTATTTATGAAATGTATTTTATTCACATATTCACCAAGCTTTAACCCATACACATCCAATAATTATATCATAAATATATCCATAATTTCAGAGTTAGATTTTCCTATCCTTTCACACCACAGAATTTAAATTTATTGTTGTAAGTAGTCTCCCCTATTGCATTGTGAACTATATGATTTGGTTCTCTCTGCATTTGCTACGTTCCTATGTAGGTTTCTATGATGTATTACTGGTAAGAAAGTAGTTCTCATTACAATCAAATACTTGCATTATCAACTGATATGCTTGAATGCATTTAAACTCACTATTTAGATAAAGTCACTATTTAAATGAAACAGAATCTAATCCATTTCAATCATGTACACCTAAATGTTATTAGAAATTCAACCAATGCCATTACAATATTTTCACATTACAATAAACACATGGTATTTTTTTTCATTTGGAACAAATATTATATTTGTTAATAATGCAATGTTTTGCACAGTTTAAAAACATTCAAGCCAATTAGACTTGATTACAGCTACTTTGTGAGAATTTCTATCTCGCCAGTTATGCCTGCAATTTTCATTGTACATTGTTTAAACTTTTGATCAGTGTGTGAATGAAAAAAGCTTGTTATTTCATGGATACTGTGAAAATATACTAACAAATGAATTAAAAATGAATATTTGAAAAAAAAAACTGTGCTTGCTTTTAGAAAATGTGAATTATTTAACAATATGTGAGTAAAAGTGAATAGGCCTGACTAACATATAAATATTTTGTCTGTTGATTCATGCATTAGCAAATTTTTTTTATTGTTTGTTTATTTTCCTTTTTGTTTGGACTGAAATTTGCCATCCTGAACTAATGTATTAAATAATCTCTCTTGTAAGTTTTTTTGAAGACTCTGTGCATTTAAATCTTGTTTCTTAAATAATGATATCCCTAATTTGTTTGATTATGATTATTGGCAAACTTAAATATAACATATGTTTTTCCCCTTTCTCTGAAGCTGTCAGTATTGAATTCTTTTGTAAAGCTATCTGCTAACTGCATAGCATGTGTTAACTCAGATTTGTTCTGAAAATATGAAGAGAATGTATTTCGAAACAACTTATTTACTAATGAGATAGAAATCTGTCATAGCATGTATTCATATTTCATTATTATTTCTATAAATAAAATTCATAACTCTAATCTGAATATATTCTTCGGAAAAATAAACTAAATAAAAACATCTCTTTTAAAAAAGTTGAATATTTTGAAGCGATGATTAAACTTTACTTCATTTTCAGGAAAAACTTTTTCCACATAATTAGGTTGCATGTTATTCATACTTTCCTCTATCAGAATTCAGTGAACTTCATCTTGAATATTGATACTAAACAATCATTTTTACATCAATTCTTTAAACAAGAATAATCAGTTACAGTTTGACCATATGCTAAATATCATCTCTGATTAAAGGTTTTGGCTTATTTGGGAAATTCCAAATATTCTTATATTTTACATTCACATTTACAAGTACATCTTAAACATCACGTTTTGTACTTTTTTTTTACACGCAAATATATGATATAACTCTCTGCTTAATACACTTATTGTAATTCAGCATTTAGTCATCCATTTTACATACAAGGTATCATTTTTGGTCAGAAAAACATATATATATATATATATATATGATGAAACATGCAACATACCAGTATCTTTGTTATATCTTTGTTTTAATAATATTCCAGCAATAACCAGTATGTAGTGACAGACTATGCTTTACGTAATGCCCTACATGTTGAGAATGTAGACCACACAGACAAATCACGCCATCTTCCTCAGGGTGCACCCAGTGGGTGTAAAAACATATTTGTTGTTGTACTGCTAGAGAATTATGAACATAGACAAGTGGAACTAGTATTAACTTGTAAATCACCGTAAGTTTATGATATAATAGATACTTCATGAGAAGAAACATCACTGATACATAAAAAGAGAGAAGAAGAAAAAAAAAACATTGGTTTATCTTTCTTTTAAAAAATATCAGTTTGTTATTTTTCTTAATCAATATTTTTATCAGCAAATTAAGATCTGCAAATAAAAAAACTCTTTAATGGATTTATTGCCCTTGAATTAAAGGTTTGCCAAATTTTGACTTCATCTCTGAAACACGGCAGTATTAAATACACGCAAATTCATGGGCAATACCAAACTGGTGAGAAAAAAAAGTACATATATAGTAAATATTTTATTAAAAAAATATTCTATAAGAAAATGATTTTTTCATGTTTTACAAAGAAGGCAGTGTCAAAATTATTGTAGTTTGAGGCTTGAACCAATGAGATCCAATGTAATAGACTAAGCAGATTTCAAATCTTTCAGAAAAGTAAGATAAAATCCTGGTGATCACATAAATACTAACAAAAGTAACTTTTAAAAGAAGTTTGACTACTCAGGATTTGACACTAAGTTTTGACCCAACCTGTCCCTTCAGACAAGTGCCAAGAACATTTAACTTGTCTTAAAGATAAATCTTACCTGTCCTTCGACTCAGAAAGCCTAAAACAAATATTGATTATAGAACATATCATGATATTAAAGACATCTATTCTATGAAAAATGTGCTTCAGGTATCTTTTCATGTATAACAAAACAAAAGATGGATCCATGTCAACTTGTACCTTTGCCAGCTGGTACCCAATATTTCTCTGGTCTGGCTGACTTCGAGATAACAAGAGTCGACTGTATATGTTGAATAATTATAATCATACAAAATACTGATCAATGATCATTAGTGGATAATAGACCTACAAAAAAAGAATGGGGTTGTTTCAATGAATAATAAACATAGAAGGATGTATAAAACACAGATTTCGAAATAAATGTGGCACTTTGAACACCAAAGTCTGTTAGGTATTACTTATTAACGTTATAAAAGCCAAAATTTGGGGAAAAATGTATGTGAAATGTATGATCTTACATTTTCAATCATAGTTGGTGTCTGTTAATCATGATCATTGATAAAGTGATAGGATTTTTTAAATGCTTTTAGAAAACTGTTTTTTAAAAGCATTTGAAAAATCCTATCACTAAATCAAATACCAAATAAAAATAACAATGACATTTTCGATTTAACCTTAATTAATTTTGAATTAAACATACTTATGGTAAAAAAAATGGGTACGAGTTTGTAGAAGTATGAGTTGACAAAGATATGAGTTGTTGTGTACCCACAAAAGATTACCCCATGATGCATATCCATGATCTTTCTACTGATGTCATCACCATGCACCCAATGAATGTGCACAGTCGCTAGATACAGTCATATTTTTACTTGTCCCATCTTGCAAATGCATTGAAGGTTTTGAGTTGTCTGAATGTTACTTTAACTTGTCCCAGGACAGCCTTCAATACCCTGTTAAATACTGCTCATTGAAAAGGTTGGTTTTAATTTAAGAAGTTTCATGATATCAAATGTTTGCATTATTTTTTTCAGGAGTGATAAATCAAGATGGATAGATGCCTTAAGTCCTGTTACTAAGGAAACAGACAATGAAAAGATATATGAAGAGTGGGGTAAGTAAATGATGTAGATCTAAGAATATCAGCAAGACATGATAAACAGATTGGTCAACAAAGCCAAAATAGTTGGTCCACTTTTATAGGAGTTACTGCCCTTGAATGATTATTTTTATCTGTTTTTGTGCATTTTGCAAAAACTATAGTTGATTGAGAGAAATTTTCAGAAAAAATTGTTTGCATCACAAGATCAACAATAAAGAGATTTTAGTTATGAATTATATTCCAGTCTGAAATTTTGGAGAGTGGCTATTGTTGGAGTGTATCCAGGTGAGCAACAAATGCTCTTTAGTGCTTCAAGTTAAATCATTAGAAAAACTGATTTCATCACTGAATCTCATGCAATACAATATTTATTCACTTTCTACAGTTAAATTCCAAATATTTTAAAAATGAACTGTTTGGAGTAGAGAATTATTGTATCACTCCATATAGAATCTATACATCACTGTTAAAGGGGCATTTACTGTCAAATTCATGTTCACCGATTTGACTCAAATTCTCATATTAGATTTATAACATACTGAAGCGTATATCCAAATTACAAATAGTCTAAAATAAACAATTTACAATGCATGGACTCGATAATATGTATCAACATTTCATGTGTATTTTTGTCTAGACATCATCTAATTAACCATTGAGATGACATAAGACTGCCACGGTCATATAACCTGATATAAATATAAATATAAATATAAATAGATAGCGACCACTTGCAATTGGATTTTTCTAGGTCTGTTTTATTTCACATTGTACATTGAAAAGTATGTTTATCATTGTTTTTACCTGTATAAGAATGATTTTTTGTGGATCGAAATAGTCACCCAAATGGTTCATCCTTGTTTCACTTTCAATGTTGACATTCTTTTCCTTTTGATAGCTAAATACTTGCATAACCCATCTCCAGCTCAGGGGTTAAATTAAAGGTCACATGAATAGATTCAATGAGGTTGAATTATTCACTTGCAAGTGAATAATTCATCAACGATGTTTCTTAGCTTATTTTGACAAAATTGAACCAAACTGGCTGCTAAAAGCGAATTATTATTTCACTTTCATTAATGATTGAATAAAATGGTAAAAAAAAATCATATTTTAATTTATTTTATATCTTGTTGCTAATGCCCCTTTAAAGACATGTGAACACAACTTAATGACTGCCTTGGTACATTCACTTTCCAAAATTAAGTATGAGTAGTTCTCCAAACCTTTCACTTGTATAAGAGTCTTTATGGTTGCAAGCCCAAAAAACAATGGAATGCAGAAATAAAAGCATTACTTGAAAAATTAACACCACTAATGACTATGATTGATTTGATATTGTGATTGTAGATTGTCCCCAAGTACAGTGTACAAGGAAGTACATAGCCACAGAACCAGATGAGTTATCATTAGAGGAGTCAGATGTTGTCAACGTCTTCAAGAAAATGGCTGATGGTAAGATTATTATGATGTTGAAATGCACTGCAGTGAGAAAGGTTTTTGTCTCGCCTTGACAGAGTTTTTTGGTATGCAGTTGTATTAGCATTGGCACATCTGATTTCCATGGATATTGTTTAGCCCTGTACCTTCAGTCATGGTTCATTGACTTTAAATATTTGCATAACTTAAATGTTAAAGTATTGCTATTTTAATTTCAACGTATGCATTATCAAAATAACAAATAGGCGAGACATATCTCTGTGTTAACAGTTTATTAGAAGTCATTGCATGAACCCTGCATGATTATGCATGTGCTGCTCTTTTTATGCCCCCACCGTAGCGGTTGGGCCATTAAGTTTTACCCTTGTCTGTACGTACGTACATACGTCCCAAAATTCGTTTCCGTTCTCTAACTTTAGTTTGCCTCAACCAAATGTTATGAAACTTATACACAATGCTTATAACCACAAAACACAGATCAAGTTTGAATTTTGGTGGCATCACTTTCACCGTTCTAGAGTTATGCCCCTTTACAAATGGAAAAATTGCTGAATTTTTCGTTTCCGTTCTCTAACTTAAGTTTGCCTCAACCAAATGTTATGAAACTTATACACAATGCTTATTACCACAAAATACTGATCAAGTTTGAATTTTGGTGGTGTCACTTTAACTGTTCTAGAGATATGCCCCTTTATTTTTTTTTTGGCATGGCTTTACAGCATTAGCCATTTAAATGTTAGAAATTGTTTTGCAAACATGATGTTATTGTTAAGTCTGCTAGACATAGGTATGGATAATCCAGCAGCAGCAGTGTAAACTATTTGTATTAAGTTTATATATCAGAAATACTTCATACCTAAAGTTTATGTCTGTGATTTATATGTCCATTATCCTTGACCTTATTTTCAAGGTTCAGCAAGTGTTTATAAAAAATATTTAGTATTTTTGTCATTTGAATGATCTGACCTTATTTTCATTTACAATGTCAATTTTTGTGTTTTGGTCTATTTCTGTAATACTAATATAAGCAAAAGGTCAACTACATTTGGTGTATGCAATCATTGTAAGGTGTACATATCTGTCTGGCAGGGTTCATCTGACCTTGATCTCATTTAAATGGATCATTGATAATTATAAGTTTGTGTGATACTTGTATAGTAAAACCTTTATCTTAAAGACTTTCAACATAAAATCAATCATGATCAGTAAAGCAAGGGACACATTTCAGTGAGTGATGTCTTGTTTAGATTGTTACATATAGTTGCTATTGAAAATAAAATTGCTCTTGTCACACAAGCTTCTTAGATTTACATCTTTTTCCTGAATAATTTTAATTTCAGTTTTTAATAGCTTTAAATTGCTAGAATTGACAGCATACTAGAAAACACTTAAATGGTATATTCACAGGCTACAGAACTGGGGGCCAGAGGAGTTTTTTTTCTATGACAACTTTTCATCAAAATGATATTATTTTTAATATCTGAATACTGTCAATTTTCTTGTTGAAGTTTTTCTGTTGAAAAAACTATTTAAATATAGTTTTACCTGGAAAACTCCCCACACTCAATAGCATTTTCATCCTGCCACTGTAGGTTTCCTGTAAAACCTGCCACCATAGGCTTCCTGTAAAGCCTACCACCCACCATAGGTTTCCTGTAAAGCCTGCCACAATAATTTCCTGTGAAGCCTTAGGATTAGGAAAACTCTTTCATACCCAATAGCATCATTACCCTGCCACAGTAGGCTTCCTGTAAAGCCTGCCATCATAACTTCTTGTAAAGTCTTAGGATGAGGAAAACTCCCTCATACTCAATAGCATATTCACCCTGCCACAGTAGGCTTCCTGTAAAGACTTGGGAAGAGGAAAACTCTCCTACACTCAATAGCTTTTTCACCTTGCCACCACAGGTTTCCTATAAAGCTACCGCCTCGGTGGTCTTGTGGTAGCTTGTTCGTCTCTTGTGTGGGAGGTCATGGGTTCAAACCCCGGTGAGGTCAAACCAAAGACTTTAAAATTGGTATTTGCTGCTTCTCTGCTAAGCATGTGGCATTAAGGAGTAAGAGCAAAGACTGTGTCCGGGTAAGGTTACATGTCTTCTTGAGGACTGTTACCTTGTGAACTAGCACGTTAAAAATCCAGCTTAGTGTGTCTGTCTAGTACAAAGCAGGGCTAAATTTCATATTACATTAACATGTTCTAGCCCTGAATATGCATATTAATTGTCTGCTGGATGTTAATCAGCCATCCATCATCATCATCCTATAAAGCTTGCCACAATAGGTTTCTTTTAAAAATAATCTCCCCCTCACTAAATAGCTTCTTCACCCTTCCATCATGTGAAAGAAATGCTTTTGCATTACTTAGGCAAGGATATAGCCACTTTTGAATAATTTTAATTGAAATTTAGGATGCCCAGTTGACTACAACAGCAGTGAGTACAATACCCAATTTACCTTCTGCTTTAATGGCGTGTACACTGATGTCCAACATCCCTCTACAGAGGCTTAAGTTGTCTAAACCAGGTGATCTTAATCATACTGCATATTTATAAAGGTCTTACTATTGGTTCAGGAATATATATGAAAAACCCTTAAATAAACTGATTCAAATAGGAATTCTAAAGTGATGAAAGAAAAATTAGCCTGTATTTTGATTTTAGAAATTATGATGAAAGAAATTAATTTGTTTTTAAAAAAAATTGAAATTCTGGAATGAATGTATTTTTTTTTATTTAAGGGATTATTGGTTTTACAATTTAAAGGTCAATTAGCTTTGTGTAAATTTCATGTGATGTGCAAATTTCCTCATTTTAAAGAAAAGAATGTTAAAGGGAACAATAACATGAAAAGAAAGAAAATTTAATAGAAGATAAAATTTGAAATTAAATTTGTAAGATAGCAGCTTTCTTTGAAAATTTGTAGAACACGAAAAGAAAAATGGGGTCAAAATTGATACACAGCCAATTGGTAAATTTGAGTGAAACTAGTACAAAATGAAACCATCTAAAGTTGAAACCCCTTTGTCATCACTTTTTTTTTATTTTAATTGAATGAGAATTTAATTTTATATACTTCAAGAAAGAATTACCAATTATTGAAAATGAAAATGAAGATGTCTTAGTTGTAATATTTATTGATGTACTATTTTCAGAATATTCAGAAGGTATACACACTGCTTACACTTAGATATATCACAGCCAAACTTGCTTCCTAAGGGTTTTATTATTATATGGAGTGGAAAGGGTTCTAAGCATTCAAAGTAGAAAAAGGATTTAACAAAATGTTTGTTACTACAGCCTAATAATTTAATTTTGGATGTAACACGTCTTCCGATTGGCTGATGTGTTTTGTTTATCAGCTCATAGACATAATTTTTTCATGTGACCTTGACGTCATCAACGTTTTTTCAGGATTTACTCCGGTTTAAAATGGAATTAAGAATTAAATTATAAGAAATGACTATAATATTTTTTCTGTCTATTCGAAATAATATAAAAAATGTGGTGCACACTTTAAAATAACCCGCTATGCGGGTTATTCAGTGTGCACCATATTTTTGATGTTATTTCTTCATAGACAGAAAAAATATTACAGTCATTCCTTAAATATTTTGATACAAAGTGTGTTTTTATGTGTGTTAACTTTATAGATTCTTAACAAATGTTTGTAACATGTTTTGCTGATTCATGATTATAGATATAAGAAGATGTGGTATGAGTGCCAATGAGACAACTCTCCATCCAAGTCACAATTTGTAAAAGTAATCCATTATAGGTCAAAGTACGGCCTTCAACATGGAGCCTTGGCTCACATCGAACAGCAAGCTATAAAGGGCCCCAAAAAATGACTTAGTGTAAAACCATTCAAACAGGAAAACCAACGGTCTAATCTATATAAAAAATGAGAAACGAGAAACACTTATGAACCACATCAACAAACGACAACCACTGAACATCATGATTGTAATTACTTCAAACAACATGAATGGATGTGTATGTGTCGTTTGTTGGTGATGTAAGTAGTTGTTTTGATTATTTAGAGATGTCAATGTTTCTGGATCCAATATAGAAATGTCATCAGTCTTCTTGAATCTTATCTATAAGTACTTTTTTGTACTTTCTGTTGCTGTGCTGTTACACCAAGGTTCCTGGCTAGGGAGGTTGAGGGCTCACACACATGTTGAACCCTGTTAATTTATTTGTATGTTCCTGTCCCATGCTAGTGCCAAATTCCAGTGTTGGTTTGCCATCTGTCAAAATAGTTTTCCATTAATGTTATTAATTTGAGTCTGCTGTTATTTTTTTCTGTTGTTTTATCTCACATTTTGTTATTAGGGTCCTTTATAGCTTAATTTAAGGTTTTGTTCTTTGTTATACGACCGCAAAAAAATTTTTGTGGTCGTATATTGGTATGACGTTGGCGTCGTCGTCGTCATCGTCGTCTGAAGACACATAGGTTTTCGCACTCTAACTTTAGTTTAATTGAATGGATCTCTATGAAATTTTACCACAAGGTTCAATACCACAAAAGGAAGGTTGAGATTGATTTTGGGGGTTATGGTACCAACAGTTAAGGAATTAGGGGCCAAAAAGGGGCCAAAAAAAAGCATTTTTGTAACTTCCAGACATAACTTGTGTGTTAGTGTATGGATCTCTCTGACATTGTACCACGAGGTTCCATATCACAAAAGGAATGCTGGGATTGATTTTGGGGGTAATTGCCTCAAAATTTTAGGAATAAGGGGCAAAAAACAAGCATTTTTCTAGTTTCATGACAATAACTTGTGTGTAAGTGTATGGATCTCTCTGACATTGTACCACAAGGTTCCATATCACAAAGGGAATGCTGGGATAGATTTTGGGGATAATTGCCTCCAAATTTCAGGAATTAGGGGCCAAAAAGGGGGAAAAAACAAGCATTTTTCTAGATTCATGAGAATAACTTGTGTGTAAGTGTTTGGATCTTTATGAAATTGTACTACAAGGTTCCATATCACAAAGGGAAAGCTGGAATTGAGTTTGGGGGTAATTGCCCAAAATGCTTAGGAATAAGGGGCCAAAAATAAGCATTTTTTTAGTTTCCAGACAATAACTTGTGTTCAAGTGTATGGATCTCTCTGAAATTATACTGCAAGGTACCACACCACAAAGGGAAGGCTGGGATTAATTTTGGGGGTAATTGCCTCAAAATTTTAGGAATAAGGGGCCATAAAGGGGCAAAAAAACAAGCATTTTTCTAGTTTCAGGACAATAACTTGTGTTAACGCTCGTACTTAATCATGAAGAAAGGGATTATCATTCTCTTACATATACTAAGAAAACAAAACATCAATAGTTTTGAATTAGTACATTGACTTGCAAATTAACAAGCATGGGCATCTGTGTCCCATAAAACATTGTTCTCTTATCTTGAAAACAATTACCGATAAAGATAGAACAGCAAAAAGGATAAACAATAAAAATTCAAACCATGTCATTGGTCATTAGTGTTTGGATGACTGCTTATGTTAGGGCCTTGATTTTTAGAGGAGATTGGAAGATTTTGTTAATGTATTTCTTATCCTGGTTTTTATACGACCGCAAAAAAATTTTGCGGTCGTATATTGGTATGACGTTGGCGTCGTTGTTGTGGTCCGAAGATACTTTGGTTTTCGCATTCTAACTTTAGTTAAAGTGAATGGATCTGTATGAAATTTTACAATAAGGTTCAATACCACAAAAGGAAGGTTGGGATTGATTTTGGGGGTTATGGTACCAATAGTTAAGGAATTAGGGGCCAAAAAAAAGCATTTTTGTAACTTCCAGACATAACTTGTGTGTTAGTGTATGGATCTCTCTGACATTGTACCACAAGGTTCCATATCACAAAGGGAATGCTGGGTAATTTTTTTTGGGGTAATTGCCTCAAAATTATAGGAATTAGGGGCCAAAAAAGGGGCAAAAAACAAGCATTTTTCTAGTTTCATGACAATAACTTGTGTGTAAGTGTATGGATCTTTCTGAAATTGTAGAACAAGGTTCCATATCACAAAGGGAAAGCTTGAATTGAGTTTGGGGGTAATTGCCCAAAACGTTTAGGAATAAGGGCCAAAAAGGGGCCAAAAATAAGCATTTTTCTAGTTTCCAGACAATAACTTGTGTTCAAGTGTATGGATCTCTCTGAAATTGTACTGCAAGGTACCATACCACAAAGGGATGGCTGGGATTGATTTTGGGGGTAATTGCCTCAAAATTTTAGGAATTAGGGGCCAAAAAGGGGCAAAAAACAAGCATTTTTCTAGTTTCATGACAATAACTTGTGTGTAAGTGTATGGATCTTTCTGAAATTGTAGTACAAGGTTCCATATCACAAAGGGAGCTCTGGGTTTGAGTTTGGGAGTAATTGCCCTTAACGTTTAGGAATAAGGGGCCAAAAAACAAGCATTTTTCTAGTTTCCAGACAATAACTTGTGTTCAAGTGTATGGATCTCTCTGAAATTGTACTGCAAGGTACCATACCACAAAGGGAAGGCTGGGATTGAGTTTGGGGGTGATGAATCATAAGGGGGCCCAAAAAATTTGGGGGGGGGGAGTTTTTTTTCCTTTTTTTTTCTTTAAAATTTCCTTTTTAAATTGGTTATTTCTGATTTATATATAAAAGCAAATAATAATGATATGGTTTGAATAGGTAAATTAAAATTTTTTTAAGTTCTTAGACCACATTCATTCTGTGTCAGAAACCTATGCTGTGTCAAATATTTAATCACAATCCAAATTCAGTGCTGTATCAAGCTTGAATGTTGTGTCCATACTTGCCCCAACTGTTCAGGGTTCAACCTCTGCGGTCGTATCAAGCTGCGCTCAGCGGAGCATTTTATTACATTAATCTAATATGGCATAACTTTGCAGCTGAGTGTGTTATGCTGCTTGAAGCCTCTGATTTAAAAGTCATCTATGCAGGAGAAACTAGTATATTATAACATTCAGTTTCAATCAGATAACATTGAATCTTTTCATTCTCAATATGAATAAAAGTGTGTGAATTATGACTGAATAAATTTTGGAGTATCATTATTTCTTTTTTAACAACTACAACAAAAGCTCTATTTAGTGATCTTACTAACACATTTATTGTTCCACATATTACATTCAGATCAAGCTTAAATATATTAGTAGAAAACTGTATAATGCTTATTTAGATTATGGTGCAAATATTGGTTACTAGATGAAGAACAGCAATAAGAGTGTGCTTTTTTTTGTCATAATATTAACACCAAATGGGAATGGGAATGTTGTCTTAAGTAGTCCATCAGGTATCTGTTTTGGGATTTTATACATGCATATAATAGCAAGGTGGTAAGTTATATTTGTAGAGGAAACCTGAGAGCCAGTGATAAAATTCCAAATCTCAGTGAAAACTTACAAAAGCTCTCAGTACTAAATGTTTACAGTGAAGATTGCTGTTTTTATACGCCCGTTTACGGGACGTATTATGGTATACCGTTGTCCGTCTGTCCGTCTGTCCGTCCGTCCGTCTGTCCGTCCGTCGTCAACATGTCAGACATTACCTCAAAAACGCTTTAACCAATTTGCATAAAACTTTGGTGAATTGTTTATATCTATTGACGTGAGCTCCCTTTCGTTTTTTATAAATTTTAGATTTTACGTTTCAGAGTTATGGGGTTTTATTCATTAAAAAAAGGGGGATTTTCCAGTTTTTGGACAATAACTCAAGAATGCTTTCACCAACTTGCAAGAAATTGTAGTGAATTGTTTATATCTATTGACCTGAGCTCCCTTTTCGATTTTTATAAATTTTAGATTTTACGTTTCCGAGTTACAGGGTTTTATTCATAAAAAAAGGGGGATTTTCCAGTTTTTGGACAAAAACTCAAAAATGCTTTCAGCAGTTCTTATGAAACTTTGGTGAATTGTTTATATCTATTGATGTAAGCTCCCTTTAGAATTTTATAAAATTTACATTTTACATTTCTGAGTTATGGGGGTTTTATTCATTAAAAAAGGGGGGATTTTCCAGTTTTCGGACAATAACTCAAAAATGCTGTCAGCAATTCTCATGAAACTTTGGTAAATTGTTTATATCTATTGATGTAAGCTCCCTTTTGATTTTCATAAATTTCTAATATGACATTGAGAATTAATTGAACTTTATTTGTTTATAGTCTGAAAACAGATTTACTAAGTATTGCGCAACAGCACAGTGTATTACACAACAGCAAGATATCTTTAATTGAATATAAATTCAATTCATATAACCAATTTCAAGTTCTTTGACTAGATTTATTCAGAAAACCTATAATATGTCAAATATTTAATTACAATCCAAATTGAGACCTGTATCAAGCTTGAATATTGTGTCTTTTTTTGCCCCAACTGTTCAGGGTTGGACCTCTGCGGGCGTATCCAGCTGCGCTCAGCGAAGCAGTTTATTGCTAATGTTGAAACTAGAAAAAAAAGCCTGAAGGAATATGTAAAGAGTGTACTGTGCAAATGGATAAATATGCATTGTTTAAGCCAAACAACTTTTGATTTCATGCTGAAATCACAATTTTATTTTCTAGTCTCTGCTGAATGTTACAAAATGCAGATATTTAGATGCTAATCTAGTAGCAGAATTAACCTATATCATATTGAAAAAATGAGAAGAGCTTGATAATCCATATCTTGTTTACATATGCCTTATGGTTTGCAACTATTTCACAACTTACTTTTATTTTAATTTAGGATGTTTTAAAATATATCCTATATCATTTAATTTGATCATAAAATCAGAAAGTAATATCTAAAGTTTGGTAGATCAAATATGATTATTGTCATGAGGAAGTAGTCCTCAGTTCATAACCATATAACTTTAACCTTCAAGAGAACCACATTTTATCATTCCAGGGCCTTTTGTAAAAGCTTACTACATGGTATAAATTTGACTTATTTTTGGGGCCATATAGTGCCCCTCAGTTGTATACAACCTTGTCCTTTGGTCTCTGGTGGACATTGGTCTTATTGTTAATCATACCACAACCTCTTATTTTTCAAGTCTAATACATTATATTTATCTTTGACAGGTTGGTATGAAGGTGAGAGAATAAGAGATGGAGAGAGGGGTTGGTTCCCTGCCAACTGTACAGAAGAGATTGTCAACTCTCATGTGCGAGCCAGAAATCTGAGATTAAGATATAGACTGCTAGCTGCCTCTGAGGAATATTCTTCTTATAATAACATGACTTCTAAAGCATAATTGAAAAATATTGTAAAATAAGTGTTTTATCTGCTACTTTATATTTATATGAGATTTATTCTGTATCAGTGTATGATCTGTAAGGCACCAGTTCAGTTTCTGTAATACTTTAAACAGTTGAATTAAGATTTTCTTTTTGTGGGTAATGTCAGGGCTTTAGTCTGGAAAAACCCTTTAAGATTTGAAATTATATAGAGATAAGGCTAGTTGCATAATAACAAAGAAATGATAAATGTGATGACTAAACCTGATTGTGATGGTGTATTCCTCTGACAGAAAAACATTACAAGGACTGGTTCTTCAAAACAATTAGGGTCAACATAATTTGTTGGGAGGAATTAGGGAAAACATGGCATTATTTCTTCATTGTATTGACTTTTGAAGTTTTAAAATGGGATCTTTCTTGAATCTAAAATTTGGTTACAATGAAATCGGTTTGATTTATTAATGAGAAATGCATTTTTGTTTAAAAAAGTATAATTTTATTCTTTTGTTTTTGTTTTTTTTTAGACTTTAAAACAAGTTTATGTTTGTATTTATACAATTTTTGATTGTCTTATATTTTTCTAAAGAGTTTTGAAATGAATAAAAAAAACAATGGGGATTTATTTTTCAGATTTTTTAATTTTTTTTTTTAAATCTGGAGAATAATGCTCCAAAAAGAGAGTGAATTAAGAGACTGGACTGTTTTATATTCTCATAGTGCCATATGTTGGACATTTCTTTACTATTAATTACTTTGGGGTACATATTTTGAGCACACTCAGCCCTATGCACAATGTGAGCTATTGCCATCACTTGGTGTCCATCCTGGTCATTGTCGTCTTAAACTTTTTCAAAAATCATTTCCTCTGCGACAACTGGACCCGTTTCAACCAAACTTAAATTGAATGAACATTAGGGTATCTAGGATAAAGATTGCTGTTGTTAAATTGCATCTATTGATCTTGAAACCATGATAGATAATGAAAATATGACATGGACAAATATTCTCAGAATGTCAAGATGTAACCATTTAGGAGCCTCGTGGCTTAGTGGTCTAAGTAGTTCACCTACTGTATCACTAGCCTGTCAACACTGAGGTTGTTAGTTCGAGTCCCGCATGTGGCCGGTGTGGTCAACTCCAATCTTAATTGACTAGAATTATCAGTTTTCTACAGGTCTTTGGTTCTCTCCGGGCACTACGGCTTCCTCCACCAATAAAAACTGACTCTTTTGAGCCTCTTGTTTATTTAGTGGTTAATCAAACCAAACATAACTGTCCAACAAAATGCATATTTTCCATTGTCTTTTATATGTCAAATTTTAAACCACAATTTTTCAAACCAATTACCTGAGAACAAACATCCAAAAAGTATCTTTATAACATCAGCATACATATTGAACTACGAATATATTGATTGCTTAACCTGGAAATGTAAAAGCTTAATGAATTATTAATGTGTAATCATCTTGTATAATTTAAACCTGCTTTCTATGCAAATGTTTTAAGTAATTGTTAGTACAGTGTATTACATTATTTTGTTGACTGGTTCCCTGTATTGGGAAACAGTATCTGGAAACTTTTTTTTACAGAAGTTTAAATTAGGACTTGTTATAAATAGCAATAATTTATGTTAATGGGTACAACATTTTGTGACTTGCTTGTCTGCTTTTTATATGACTGCAAAAAATTTTTGCGGTCGTATATTGGTATGATGTCGACGTCGCACTCTAACTTTAGTTTAAGTGAATGGATCTCTATGACATTTTACCATAAGATTCAATACCACAAAAGGAAGGTTGGGATTGATTTTGGGGGTTATGGTATCAACAGTTAAGGAATTAGGGGCCAAAAAGGGGCCAAAAATAAGCATTTTTGTAACTTCTAGACATAACTTGTGTGTTAGTGTATGGATCTCTCTGACATTGTACCACAAGGTTCCATATCACAAAGGGAATGCTGGGATTGATTTTGGGGGTAATTGCCTCAAAATTGTAGGAATTAGGGGCCAAAAAAGGGGCAAAAAAAAACAAGCATTTTTCTAGTTTCATGACAATAACTTGTGTGTAAGTGTATGGATCTTTCTGAAATTGTACAGTACTACAAGGTTCCATATCACAAAGGGAAAGCTTGAATTGAGTTTGGGGGTAATTGCCCAAAACTTTTAGGAATAAGGGGCCAAAAATAAGCATTTTTCTAGTTTCCAGACAATAAATTGTGTTCAAGTGTATGGATCTCTCTGAAATTGGACTGCAAGGTACCATACCACAAAGGGAAGGCTGGGATTGATTTTGGGGGTAATTGCCTCAAAATTTTAGGAATTGGGGGCCAAAAAGGGGCAAAAAACAAGCATTTTTATATGCCCTTCAATTTTTGACGGGACGTATTATGGTATACAAATGTCTGGTGTCCGTCCGTCCGTCTGTCTGTCCGGCGTAAACATGTCGCACCGTAACTTGAGAATGACTTATCCAAATTTCATGAAACTTTACATAGTTGTTTCTTATGATGGTCAAACGATCTGTATACTTTTTGGTGAAAATAAGGTTAAAACTTTTTGAGTTACAGGACTTAGTAACTAAAACAGGTGTGTGTTTTTTTTTCACATGTCGCGCCGTATCTCAAAAACAATTTATGATTATTGCTTAAAACTTTACACACTTCTTAGTTATATTAATCTTAAGATCTGTATACTTTTTGGTGATGATTCAAAATTTTATTTTAGAGATATTGAGTATTTTGTTAAAAAAGGGGGAGGGGTTTTTCACATGTGGCGCCGTATCTCAAAAACGATTTATGATTATTGCTTAAAATTTTACACACTTCTTAGTTATATTAATCTAGAGATCTGTATACTTTTTGGTTTTGATTCAAAATTTTATTTTTGAGATATTGAATTTTTTTTTTTAAAGGGGGGTTTTCACATGTCGTGCCGTATCTCAAAAACGATTTATGATTATTGCTTAAAATTTTACACACTTCTTAGTTATATTAATCTAAAGATCTGTATACTTTTTGGTTTTGATTCAAAATTTATTTTAGAGATATTGAGATTTTTGTAAAACAAAAAGGGGGGTTTTCGCATGTCACACCGTATGTCAGAAACTATTTATGCTTATTGCATAAAAATTCACACACAAGACGACGGGCGTATCATGCGCTCATGGCGCAGCTGTTTATTCTAGTTTCAGGACAATAACTTGTTTGAAAGTGTATGAATCTTTCTGAAATTGTACTACAAGGTTCCATATCACAACGGGAAAGCTGGGTTTGAGTTTAGGGGTAATTGCCCTAAACGTTTAGGAATTTGGGGCCAAAAGGGGCCAAAAAAACAAGCATTTTTCTAGTTTCCAGACAATAACTTGTGTTCAAGTGTATGGATCTCTCTGAAATTGTACTGCAAGGTACCATACCACAAAGGGAAGGCTGGGATTGAGTTTGGGGGTGATGAATCATAAGGGGGCCCAAAAAATTTGGGGGGGGGGGGGGGAGTTTTTTTTCCTTTTTTTTTCTTTAAAATTTCCTTTTTAAATTGGTTATTTCTGATTTATATATAAAAGCAAATAATAATGATATGGTTTGAATAGGTAAATTAAAATTTTTTAAGTTTTTAGACCACATTCATTCTGTGTCAGAAACCTATGCTGTGTCGAATATTTAATCACAATCCATATTCAGTGCTGTATCAAGCTTGAATGTTGTGTCCATACTTGCCCCAACTGTTCAGGTTTCGACCTTTGCGGTTGTATCAAGCTGTGCCTAGCGGAGCATTTTATTTTATTTAGATTGTACAATTAAAACATGATAGTTAAATATTCAATATCATCATATTTCTAGCACTAAGCATTGAATATGACTAAAGCAGACAGATTTTGAGTAATTCTTTTAATATGTTATACTTGTTTTATACTCAAGAAATAATATTTTGTTGTAACATATCTTGGTGCTTATATATTTATATCTGGTCACATATTTTTGTTATCATGAGTTTGTTTTACATATCTTGGAAGTTTTGAAAAACTTTTAAATAATGATGCTAGTTTGTTATATCAATGATAAGCAATTAGAAGACAACTCACAAGCTGTTAAACTTAGAACATATTCTCAAGAATGTCATCTGTTTTGTTCATCGTTTCTTGTGTAAAGGATTATAGAATTGGTTGTGAATTAAGGAGGAACATATACTCTAACTAAGAAGATACATTAGTCTACAAATAAAGGGCACATTTTAATATTGGGAGCAAATATATTTTACTTTTACAGACCAAACTGTTGAACATTATAAGCCATTTTTACATGGTGTATATTTTCAGTTATGACCATTCCAAAGACTCCATAGTAACTAGTATGAGGTATAAAAATGGCAAAGTTTATCTTGTCAGTGTAATGCTACATTACTTATCATCCCAATATAATGTTGTATATAGGTAATTTTATCATCCCATTTTTATAATAGCTGTATGATTGGATTTATTATACCAATAAATTGATCATTTTAATATTATATTGCATTTAGGTATAAAGTTTCATATGTCAATGCACTAAGGCATTTATTGGCATCATATGCATTGAGCTTGTATAATAAGGAACAAGATTTAATATCTGTAAATACTGTTTGTATGCATAAATTATTGTTGTCAAATAATATACTACTATATGTATTGGACTACCCTATTTATTTTATTTGTTTGTTGAAGTCTAATGCTTGTTGGTATGAAATTGTATAGTTGAAGTGTTTTCTGATTGACTGTGTAGAAAATTAGAGCTTGTATTTAAAGTAACTGACCGTGGTTGAGATTGGACAAATTCTATTACATTCCAGCAATTGAATGCACAAGGGTAGAGATCTGACTTGATTATTTCAGTGATTCTGTACACTTTCCCTTTATTGAAAATGACTGGAGAAAGAACAAACACCACTTTAGTAGGCTATAGTGTAAGCAAATCTGTAGAATTAGTTTACCACATTCATTAAATAGAAAGGAATGTCAACATTGAAAAGTGAAACAAGTGAGACACTTAGAATAACCGTTTCATTGACTTATCCAATCCACAAAAATCATTCTTATACTGGTATATTTTTAACATGAAATCAAACAGACCTAGCTGCCATCTATTTATATTTATGTTAATATTGGGTCATTTGACCGTCAGCAGCCTTTGGAGATCATATCGATGGATAATTATATGGCGTCTGGTCTATATTATCAAGAAATGTTGATACATTATATATTTCCCTTAAATCAATCAACATTTCATTCAACAAAACAATTACCTCATTATTGGTCCTGTTGAGTTGTATTTCATATAACCTGCATAGACATATTTTCTAACTGGAGTTCTTCTAATTTCATGAATACTCAATACAGTACTCTTAAGATATTAGATAAACACTGGTTATCTGATGATATTGGTTCCTCCTGAGATATACCATGTTATGAACAAGGCAATAGTCCATTACATATAGTATACATATCTCTGTTGTTACAGTTTGTAAAACTACTTTCATTTTCCCATGTGTCAAATGTTGTTTTACTTTTTGTTGCTGTTGTTAACATTGTTTTTTTATGATCATCCTTTTTATTCCTTATCTTGCAATATATGTATAAGTATATATGTCATGTGATATGTGATTGATCTATGTCATGTGATATGCGATTGATCTATGTCATGTGATGTGTGATTGATCCTTATCATGTGATGTGTGATTGATATATGTCTTGTGATGTTTCTTTGAAGAAGATGCTTTTAGCCATGAATCTGTTCTGTTAAGACTATCATTCCTTGATTTTGATTGTATATAAGATATTTGTAAATCATTATTTTTCTATAAGTTCATGATGAACCTGAAAACTTATAAGTAAAGCCACTTCTTAAGTCTTATTAGTCTATAAAATTCATTAAACAATTTTTCAAGACTGGAGCCTTGAGGGGCTGGTCATTGAAATTGACTACTCTCTTTTAAATTTATTCATATAACTTTTAAGGAGAAATATAGATTTGAAACATGACGCATATATATTCACAATTTTCCTAACACCTGATTTTTCTTCCTTTGTCTTTCAAAAGACATCAGATGGTTACAATATAGAAATAATTTGTATTATGTTGCAAGTGTAAGTTTTCATGGATTGTGTGGCCTATATCTATCTAGAAACTACAAATTTACACATTCAAAGAAGAAAACTTTCCACAAGGGGAAATAAACTGGTTGGACTGGAATTTCAGTAAGGGGAAAATATTTTCAATTCAGATGCAAGTTTTGAATATAGAATTTTTCAGGAAGACAAAAGCCAGACTGATGTTGAAAATCAGAGAATACACTTATGGAGCTTCATATATGATAATGCATAGACTTGTTGCAAGTATCACTCCAACTGTAAGCTTGTCAGGGTTCCCCCCTTTTCAAAATCCTGGATCAGCACATTACCACTGTTACAATAAAATTGGAATTACTTGCACAGTTTCTGTTAAAATCGTAAATTGAAAAAGGGAAGAGTGCCTTTGTTTCGTCATGTTATTATGAATTTTTATATGACATCATTATTAATGTTTACAAAGCAATGTATTCTCAAAATTTCAGGTAAGGATTTTATCGTATTTAAATATAATTTAATTTTATAAAATATACCCGAAAGTATAATGGAATCAATTATTACTTGATAAAGGCATATCAGCTAACTTCCGGCTGTATTACATAATCAAAATGTTGCATATTTTCTTTAAGTATGTGATAAAAATTACTGTTTCAATGTAAACAATTATGTGCAATATTGAATATTTGAGAGGTGTTTGACCAATCAAATATTACTTCATTTTTACCAGATCAAGTAAGAAAATAAAAGACTTACCATTTTCATTTTCTGTAAATCGCGTATCATAGCTTAGGAATTTTTATAGAATATAAGAATATTTACTGCAGAATGTAATCTAGCTTGATTTATATGTATTTTTAGCTGATACAATAATAGCAAGAAAAATTTATAACCCAGTTATACAGAAGCTTTTGTACACATGCTAGGAAAATACTTTGGTATGTAGAAGGTTAATCTTCATTATATTTCTTTTATTTACAAAAAGAATTCAAATTTATTTATAAAAGTGGCTGAAATAAAATACAAAAAATGTACCTTATTTTTTTTAATTGTCTCTTTAAAAGAAGACTTTATACCAGAGCCTACATTTTTAGATATCCTGCTAACTTTATAACACAGATAAAAGGCCGATAAAAATTAATTTTCTAAATTTTTTACCACTACAAGTTCACATATTATATATTTGGATTTACAACATTAAAATGTGTTAGCAGTATTTTTTAACAGCCTTTCTTTTCAATGGTTATTCAAAGACACTACTGCTTTGTAGTACCATTAAAATTCCTACCCTTACAGTAAATGGTTATTTGACATTCCACTTTGTGTACCATGTATTTGTGTGTTACTACATGTATAATTTGCTATTACATATCAGATGTTTAACTATTGCCTTTTCTCTTACATCCATTTGATGAGTTCAAAAACTGTAAATTATTATCAAAGAACAGTTAAAATGTTATCATTCCTTTGAAATAACATTAGCAGAACCAATTATACTGCACCAGATGTGTATTGTAAGCTTCATTTCTTACTTTAAATCGTAATTCATCATTCAAGACTTGCAGTAGAAACAAATATCGCTATTTTCATCTGAACTGTAAATTGTTATTTTGCTCTATTTATGAAACATATGTGAATTTTTCATTTCAATTTTGCAATAAAATATTATACATATTAAATTATTTACTTGTGTTATAATGGTTTGTTGACTGATTGTAACCTGTGTAATGCAGTTTCAAGTCAGCTGGCTGTTTAGTTTTCCGTGTAATCTTCGGAGGAAGATTATTTGGGACAAAATCATAGAAACATAGACATATCTTCTAATTTTGCATGCATGTTTTTTGTAGCAAATTGTGTCGTAGTCAAATGCATTTCCACAAGATCTAGTACCTGTACACCATATTTTATAAAATAAAAACTTGCAATATAAAAATTAGATGTGTCATGATTGCCAATGAGACAAATAACAAAGACTTAAGTATAAAATGAGACAACCATCCAACACAGACCAAATAGAGAGGACGTAAAGTGTCAAATGAGACAACCAACCAACACAGACCAAATAGAGAGGACGTAAAGTGTCAAATGAGACAACCAACCAACACAGACCAAATAGAGAGGACGTAAAGTGTCAAATGAGACAACCA